CCCAGGGTGTTTTCCCGCAGCTCCGCCTCTTTCAGCAGGTCATATCGATCCTGTACGTGATTGGTTCGGCTTTCTCCTCGGCTCTTCACGTCTGGTATTTTGACCCGGGTGTATCACCATCTCTATGGTGATCAGGTGGCTTCGTTGATGGTGTCCCACCTGCGAGCTTCATCTTGGCGACAGAATGACGTTCCTGGTGTTTCTATTCACCTTTTTCTTACTCTTCGTAGGTTGTTTCTCTTTCACATCGAGTTATCTTGTCCTTTCTTGGGTTTTCAGGACTACAGTTATTTGACGTTTCTTACTGTTGTCTCATTTCGTGCGGTGCTGGCGGAGCCGCTCCAGTGTACATTCAGAGTGGACGTCACATCCGCCCCGTTCTGTACACTTTCTTGTGTTTTGTTTCACCTCCGGCCTGCTCATGCGTCGCCTGAGCCGTCCTGGTCCTTGATCAGGGTGCCCTCTTATCTTCTTCTCCTCAGTTTGTGGTAGCCCCTTCGGTTCAAGTTTGGTTTTCATAGGCCATATTTTGTTGGCATGGGCCTCTGCGGGTCAGGTCGGGGAGCTTCCGGCTCTCTTCCGGTACAGGGGTTTCTGCTCTTTGGTACTGGTGGTAGGCTTGTACGTTTGCAGCCTTTCTCTGTCCTTCTGGCGACGGTTGAGACGGCTGCTTTCCGGAGGGGTCCTTGGGTTATTGATGCTTGATTGGTTCGGCCGGGGGGTGCGTCCTGTGTTGTCTGGTTGCGCCTCTTTGCCGTTACCTGCGTACTGTGTCTGGGGATGCGCTTTGGATTGATCCGGTTCCCCTTGTTCCCTGTTTCAGGGCTCGGGTCTCCCAGGTCGTCTGCAGAGTTTTTAAGTCTACCAGCCTGCAGTCTATCCTTGCGCCCATGCCGTTCAGACGTTTGCAGCTTTTGCTGCCGTGTTGGTGACGTCGAAGGATCATTTCGGGTACGAGGATTTGAGGGTCGCACAGGTTCCTGGCCGCCCGTTCTTTGTGCACGTGTCTGCTCCTGTGCATTCTTGTTGCCTTGGGTCGCAGGTTGCAGTCTGTTGTCTCGGCTTCGCGTTGCAGATTGTGGCGGTCGCCTCCCGGGTCAGCCCTTTCTTTTCCTTCTCTTTGGGTAGCAAGCTCCTGGGACCCATAGGGGCTTCCCACAGAAAACCAGCGTCGAATGTGATGAAACGCCATTTTCTAGGTGAGCCCCAAAGGCTTCCTGGCCATCCTCCCTCCCACCGATCAGCGTTTTTTTGCATTGGTTGGAGCTTAGCTTCTGAACTGATGCTAGGCAGCCGGCGCGGTGAGGTCCGGGGCTCCCCTCTCGGGAGCGGGGAGGGCTTTGCGGACGATAGGCGCGGCAGTAAAGTGTGATGTTTGCTTGTTTGCATGTTTCCTTGGGATTGTAGGGAGTTTCTACTTCTCTGTTCGGTTTTCTGTTTTAGTTTTTTACCATGTGGGGTTTGTTTTGTTTTGCCTATCTTTCTGGGTGCCTAACCCCAGTCGATGGCAGATAAGGAAAACCTCCAATCACAGGGGAGTTTTCCTGGGCCATTGCTCCCTGAAACCTCTCTGAAGGGGCCAGGTTCTGGTGCTTGTCCCTGGTAGGTCTGAACTCCATAGCTAATGTCTCGGTCTAATATAACATACATTAGCCTGATAAGCTCCAAGGATCCATAGGGGCTCCCCTCAGAAAACCTTGAAGTCAGACTCCATCATTCACTGAAAGTTGCACATCAAGTGGGAGCAGCAGCAAAGAGGCTATGGTATGCCCCCACTTGGATTACTGTTTCCAAGCATGGAGACCACAACTTTTTTTTTTACTTATTTATATATACAAAAGTTCTTATATTCTTGTACAGCCACTAGCACGTGTAGCGTTTCAGGCAGGTCCTTAATCCTATATTCTCCGGAATACAACCCCGCCAAATCATTTAACAACCAGGTACCCATTTTACTGTTGGGTTAAACAGAGGCTACAGTTAACACTTTCGTGTAACGGCGTATGAAAAAAAAACTTTCCCCGAGTGAAATTAGCGCTTCGGCAGTCGAGCAGCAACATTTAAAAGTGTATACTCTTGTCACTGTCCTGATGTTAATTTTCGATGTACGTATTTCATTTTTGTACCAATGTGTTCGCAATAGAATGTTCTAGAAGAACATACGTATAAAATGTCACCAAAACATAAGTTAGATCAGCACCAAATAAAAAACTACGTCGATCACTAGCCGTGAGCGCCAGACAGCAACGAAATGTTTCTACTATCTTCAGGGTTGACAACTCCACACTTGTCCTACAGGGTTAATTTTGGTATCACTGAAAACACAATAAAATTCTCTACACGGACATATGCATATAAATATAGAATCAATGTCGCAACCCACCCACAAGAGTGTGGGAAGTGGCCGAAGTGTTACCCGCGGCGGCATATCGGCGAAACCCGCATTGAAAAGTGTATACAGTATTCAATTCACTGTCCTGACATTATTTTTCGATGTACGTGTTTCATTTTTGTACCGATGAGTTTGCAATAGAATGTTCTAGAAGAACATAAGTATAAAACGTCACATAAGGATGTGTTCGACCGGCAACAAATATAAAAACTACGTCGATCATACTCGTCGTGTAAATAATACAATTGTTTTACCACGATAATTCACTGCCATGCCGTTCTCCCAAATAAGCTCTTCGGCTATTAGAGAAAACGGAAATTTCATGGCGAACATTTGTAAACTATCCCCAAGTAGATCGGATTGAAATTGGAATTTATACAAATATTTATTCTCGTGACGCCCGCCAGTGTCACCCTTGCGGAACCCGAACAAAACTTAGTGACGCGCTCGTGCGCCACCGCAGGGCGAAAGTGTTAAGGATTTGCATCCAGTAAATCCTCCTCGAAGATTCTCCTTCATCTTTATATCTTCAAAGATATAGCTTCTTTGGAGAAAGTTCAATTCCGGGCAACAAAAATCATTCCTAAACTAAGTCAACTTTCATACCAAGAACAGTTAAGGGCCACAGGGCTGACAACACTGCAAACCAGACATGTAAGGGCAATCTCAACAAAACTTTTAAATTACTGAACAATTTGGAGGATATTGATCAAGACAATTTCTTCAATAGGTCAATTGTAACACTAACGAGTAATGATTTGAAGCTCAACAAGTCACAATGTAGGACTGGAAATCAGGAGATGCTTTTTCATCCACAGGGTTATAAGCCCATGGAACTGCCTACCCACCAAGCTGTAAATGCCAAAACTCTGTTGAACCTTTAAATCCAGCTTGAAGAAATCATCAGGTTCAATGAGGAACCTCTGACAAGTTGCTGGCTTCCTGTCTTCATCAAGGCCACTTGTGTGTTAATGGCTCTCAGGTAAATTCAGGTAAAACTCCTCTAACTGGTAGTCTCAGGGAATCCCCAATTCCCTCCTATACCAAGGGTGTTGGTTCATGACTTCCTATACCAAGGGTGTTGGTTCATGACTATCAGATCTGGACTGGCTTCTGCCTGAAGCAGAACAGTGGGGCTCCTAGGGCACCACCTGTTGGCAGTCATTTACACTAGGGAATTTGAGCCAGTTTTGAGTGAACCGTTCGTTTTGAATAAATAATTTGTCGAGTATTTGATGGTTTCGGCGCTTCTTTTGTATGAATTATGCAGTTGTATTTCTTTGCTTGCTTTCTTCATACTTTCTCAGTGTGGGTGATCGTAACAATCCTCCTGCTCTCTCTGCTTCTCTGAGGGGGGGGGGGGCCAGGTTCTGGCTCTAGTCCCCAGAATACCAAATAGGAGTCCAATGACTGATGTAATTCATTAGCTGGAAGCCACCTCAGCAAGATAGTTTCTGGGAACCACTGAGGCTCTACCAGAAAGAGGCATTTAATTACATTTAGTGCTGGTTTTCTCAATAGATTTTTAACTGTTCATCACACACAATGTAACCACAACATTGTTGCAATGTTACATCAAAGTAACAATAATAAAAATAATTTGGTAACGTCATGTGATTGCTTGATGTGTATACTAAGTTTTCCAAGAGAGAATGGAAGGGAGGGAGGGAGAGAGAATGGAAGGGAGGGAGGGAGAGAGAATGGAAGGAAGGGAGGGAGGGAGGGAGAGAGAATGGAAGGAAGGGAGGAAGGGAGAGAGAATGGAAGGAAGGGAGGAAGGGAGAGAGAATGGAAGGGAGGGAGGAAGGGAGAGAGAATGGAAGGGAGGGAGGGAGAGAATGGAAGGGAGGGAGGGAGGGAGAGAGAATGGAAGGAAGGGAGGGGAGAGAGCGAATGGAAGGGAGGGAGGAGAGCGGATGGAAGGGAGGGAGAAAATGGGAGTGTGGAAGGAGAGAGAGAGAATGGGATTGGGGGAAGGGAGAGAGAGAGAATGGGATTGGGGGGAGAGAGAGAGAATGGGATTGGGGGAAGGGGGAGAGAGAATGGGAGTGGGGACGGGAGACAGAGAGAATAGGAGTGGGGAAGGGGGAGAGAGAATGGGAGTGGGGAAGGGAGAGAGGGATAATGGGAGTGGGGAAGGAGGGAGAGAATGAGAGCGGGAAAGGGAAAGAGAATCCAAACCACACTTCAGAAAATTAAGAAATGGTGATTTTTAGTCTGTCCCGGACCATTATCAAGTCATGTAATGACTGGACACAACTTGATCGTGGTCTAATATGGACCAGAATGTTGTTGATGAGAGGGAAGAAGAATGGGAGGAAGAGAGGGAGTGATAGAGAATGGGAGAGAGGGAGAGAGAGTGGGAGGATGGGATGGAGAGAAAGTGGACGGGAGATAGACCCAGTCACCGCTGAGTACCCCCATATCTAGTGTTTCTTAAAATTTTAATCAAATAATTATAACATTTGGCAAGATTCTGAATACTATACAATAAATATTCAAATAATTCATTTTCCAATGAGTTAGGCTGGGACAAGAAAAAAAGGCAAGGCTGATTTTTTACATGACAATGCTAGCATAAAGATATAATACAATTTCTCATTCTCACCATTACCAAGAGTAGAAAGTAGCTGAGGATGAAGGTGGTGGTTGCAGTAATCTCTGAATGAAATGTCCCTCTTTGCGTAACTATAGCTGTTAGCTGAGCTCAGGCGTACTGTCAAATGCCCATAATTATTCAACAGGACGGAATGACGTGTACGTGACCTAAACACCTGTAAAATACATTCATGTTAAGGTTCAAATAAATGTTGCCCATCAATATATTAGGCTATGATATTACACATCCTTTGTCTACCTTGAAATTGATATTCAGTCACATTCAAAAACAAAGTTTAGCACAATGAGATGAAAACATATATACAAATTTTCCACTGAAGCACAATATCAATTTATGTGCATAATATGATATCCAAATAATTTAGAATAAATGTAAGTGATAATAAGGTATTGTAATAAGCAAGGCAAAAAAAGTGTCGAATGTAATTAAAAACCGTTTTCTGATGGGTCCTTGGTGGCTCCTTGAGCAAGCTACTTGGAAGGCTCCACCCAATTAAATCCATGTCAGGACCTTGTGGGTCATTGTAAGCCTACTGGGGACCATAGGCCAAAACCTAGCCCCCTCTATAGAGGCACAATGAGCAGGGTATAATACTAAATCACCCTAACCAAGAAAAGACCATCAAAAAGATGGGTGAGCCAAAAGATACCTGGTTGATGGGGTTCTGGGAGTTCTTCTACTCCTCAAGCCTGGCCCGAGGCCAGGCTTGACTTGTGAGAGTTTGGTCCACTAGGCTGTTGCTTGGAGCGGCCCGCAGGCCCACATGCCCACCACAGCCCGGTTGGTCCGGCACTCCTTGGAGGAATAAATCTAGTTTCCTCTTGAAGATGTCCACGGTTGTTCCGGCAACATTTCTTATGCTTGCTGGGAGGACGTTGAACAACTGCGGACCTCTGATGTTTATACAGTGTTCTCTGATTGTGCCTATGGCACCTCTGCTCTTCACTGGTTCTATTCTGCATTTTCTTCCATATCGTTCACTCCAGTACATTGTTATTTTACTGTGTAGATTTGGTACTTGGCCCTCCAGAATCTTCCAGGTGTATATTATTTGATATCTCTCTCGTCTTCTTTCTAGTGAGTACATTAGGAGAGCTTTGAGACGATCCCAATAATTTAGGTGCTTTATTGCGTCTATGTGTGCCGTATATGTTCTCTGTATTCCCTCTATTTCAGCAATCTCTCCTGCTCTGAAGGGGGAAGCGAGTACTGAGCAGTACTCAAGACGGGACAACACAAGTGACTTGAAGAGTACAACCATTGTGATGGGATCCCTGGATTTGAAAGTTCTCGTAATCCATCCTATCATTTTTCTGGCTGTCGCAATATTTGCTTGGTTATGCTCCTTAAACGTTAAGTCATCAGACATTATTATTCCCAAATCCTTTACATACACAAGCTACAATTAGCAAGGTAAACAAAGTATAGAAAATGAAACATTGAACTCCTAAGACGAATGAAACACCCAGCCAAGAAGCGGTTAATGTGTTTGTTCACTTAGGCAAAACCTTGGGACTGCATACCTCCTTCTTCAATCTGCTAGCCATGACCCATCAAACAAGGGAGGGGGTCGAAGGAGAGGGGGTCCAAGGAGACACCAAGAACCCACCAGAATGAGGCATTTCATTACAATCAACACAAGTTTACTGGGAGGGCTCCATGCTGCCTCTTTGAGCTATGTCACCATAGAGAACAAAACAAAAGGGGCACTCACCAGGGGTTACCTGGTGAGGGTGGAGGAAAGCTGTAAAAAGTAACCCCCCCAAGGAAAGGGGGAGTTAGCAAAAAATTAACCTCCACAAAAATCACACAAACCCAGTGCAGACCAAGAACATTCACTAAGGAATGAGCCACCAGCACTTTCTTGGACCTTCAAAACCTCCGAGACCGAATAATCGTCAAAAAACACATTCGAAAAATCCACAAAACCACAAACTTACAAACATCCTGGGCAGGTTAAACATGATGACATTATAGACAACTTGAGACACACAGGCTCTGGAACAAGGAACCCGATATACCGGACCCACAAACAGAGCATCTCCCTGTGCACCACTAAGGGCTGGAGGTACGGTAATGTCAAACCGCAACAACCGAACACATGATGTTCGGTTGTTGCTCCCAGCCAAATAGACCAAGCATCAATTACCAAAAGACCCCTCCAGAGACTAGCTGTCTCATTCTTAGTCAGAAGGAAAGGAGAGGGCAGAAAATGAAGAAAACAACCCCCAGGACTAAAACAACAAACTCCTGATTCCAGAGGACTGTGAAGCTCCCAACCTGGCAACCGAAGGTGAGGGGCCAACATAAACATAAACAAAGATTAAGAAACAATCTCTGACACAAGAGGCAACAAAACACAGAGGAGAGAAGAGAAAACCAAAATGACTTGGGAGGAGCATGAGTAGATCAGGAGTGAAAAAATACCTGAGACAACTTGTAATTACCTAAGTACAGTTACAGGTTGGGTGCTACTCTTATGACCACACATACACCAGTATGATCATACTGTGGCTGGCGTATAATGAGCTCATACTGTACAGTGGTACCTCGGAATGCGAGTGTCCCTGTATGCGAGTTTTTCGGAAGACGAGCAGGATTTACTCCAAAAATATGTCTCGGAAGGCGAGGGTTACCTCGGGACGCGAGTTTGTTGATACGTGTACAGGCCGACTGGCGCGTGGTGGCATGGCGATCGCGCCTCAGTTTACCAGTGTCTCGTGTCCAGTGACTATCCCACCTGAATTCTTCACAAGGATTTACAGTTTTTTATCGGTTTTTTGGCCATTTGAGCATAAAAGTTGTCATTATATATCTTGCCATGGGTCTCAAGAAAGCCATTGGTAAGGTTCAACCTAAGAAAATAGCTGTGAGTAGAGGCAGTAGAGGATGTCCCTTCTTGATTAAGAAAATGTGTGAAGTATGGGAAGAACTGCAAAGTTTTGTTGAAAAAACTCACCCAGATAAAGCTGTAGCAGGCCGTTGCATTGACCTTTTAAATGATAATGTGATGTCTTACTACAGACAAGTGTTAAAATGTAGGGAAAAACAAGTGTCATTAGACAAATTCTTAGTAAAACAAGCAAGTCCTAGTGGCATGCAGGCAAAATGTGCCAGTGTGTGCATACCAGTGAAGTCCTCACTGCCTGATGTGATAATGGAAGGGGACTCCCCTTCCAAACAGTAACTCCTCTCTTCCTCCCACCTCCTCACCATCTTCCATATGCCTACAGCATTCAACAGCAAGGTAAGTAATAACTTGAACATAGTTTTGTAGGTTTATTTAGATGAATTAGGTATAAAAATTTAGTTTGATGTGGGGTTTTTGGGGTAGTCAGGAACGGATTAATTCATTTCCCTTTATTTCTTATGGGGAAATTAGCTTCGGAATGCGAGTTTTCGGAATACGAGGCGTCTCCAGGAACCAATTAAACTCTTAAACTGAGGTATGCCTGTATGTATGCCTGTATGTATGTATGTATGTATGTATGTATGTATGTATATATATATATATATAATATATATATATATATATATATATATATATATATATATATATATATATATATATATATATATATATATATATATATATATATATATATATATATATATATATATATATATATATATATATATATATATGTAGCCAGAACGCACTTCTCAGCCTACTATGCAAGGCCCGATTTGCCTAATAAGCCAAGTTTTTATGAATTAATTGTTCTTCGACTACCTAACCTACCTAATCTAACCTAACCTAACTTTTTCGGCCACCTAACCCAACCTAACCTATAAAGATAGGTTAGGTTAGGTAGGGTTGGTTAGGTTTGGTCATATATCTACGTTAATTTTAACTCCAATAAGAAAAAAAAAAAAATTACCTCATACATAATGAAATGGGTAGCTTTATCATTCATAAGAAAAAAATTAGAGAAAATATATTAATTCATGAAAACTTGGCTTATTAGGCAAATCGGGCCTTGCATAGTAGGCTGAGAAGTGCGTTCTGGCTACTAGGTACGACATATATACATACATACATACATACATACATACATACATACATACATACATACATACATACATACATACATACATACATACATATATATATACATATATATATATATATATATATATATATATATATATATATATATATATATATATATATATATATATATATATATATATATATATATATATATATATATATATATATATAGGCTTTGCCCATATAGTGTGTTCAAGTGAGGATACACTATACTAAAATACAGAACAAATACACAAACAAATCCCAAATGGAATGAACTAAATTGGTTGGAGGTTTTCCAAGGAGTTAACTCCTTTTGTTAACTAATTGGAAATGCCCCATGGAGCCCTCTCAGAAATTACAATGCAATAATTCTCACCTGATTATGTGATGACTTCTTGATAACCACAGGTTCACTGTATGCATATCTTTGTAAAAGAGAAAAATAATCAAATTAGCTGCAACTTTATACACTGCTCAATTCATTCCAAGTGTAATGCAATTTTTTTTATTGTATTACAGTATTATTGACCTTTAAATCCCCATACTGCAAAGTATGGGGATTTATTTACATTATATGACATAATCTGTCATATAATGTAAAAAGGAATAGAAGGAAAAGTGAGAATATGAGGTTGGTGTATCTTACTTTACATATAACTGCATATAACCAACTTTCTCTAGTTAGCAGCATACAAGATATATGTACTGTACATATATAGTATAAAAAACCAGCGTTGAATGTAATGAAACGCGATTTTCTGGGTGAGACCCGGCAGTATGGGGTATTTTGGCGGTCCTTTCTTTTCCTGTCCCTTCTTAGGTGGTTACTCTTGTTAGCTTGGTTTCCTCTCGGCTTGGTTTTCTGGTGGGGGTTGGGGGCCGTCGTCTTGCCACATACTGCACCGTTAGTCAGCTGTCTTGTGCGTCGTTTCACCTCCGGCCTGTTCGTGCGCCGCTTGCACCATCCTGGTCTCTGGTCAGCGTGCTCTGTCTTCTCCTCGGTTGGTAGTGCTCCTTCGGTTCCGGTGTGTTTTTTCGTCGGCTCTTTCCTTTTGGCCTTTGCCTCTGGGGGTCGAGTCGCTGAGTTTTCTTGCTCCTTCGGTTTTAGCGTTTTGGTTGTTCGGTGGCAGCAGTCTCCATCTTTTCTGGCGTGGGGTGGGGTTGCTGCGTTCTGGAGGGGTCCAGGGTTTGTTGGTGCTTCGTTGGTCGGGCCGGGGGTGTGTCGTTTTTTGGTGTTCAGTGGCGGCCCTCCACTGTTTGCGTGCCACGGCGTTTGGGTCCGGAGCGCGTTTTGCGTTGATCCGGTTCTGTTCTTCCCGGTTCGCGGGTGATAGTGTCCCGGGTGGTCAGCCGTGTTCTTGCGGCTAAGCTGCCTGTGTTCTTCCCTCATGCCTGTGGCGTTCGTGGCTTCGCTGCTCTCGCTGCCGTCTGGGCGACGTGGCCTCGCGGTCTTTCGGGCATGGATTTTTGGTGTTCGTGCAAGGGCCTTGCTGCTCGTTGTTCTCGTGTTGTTCCCAGGACTTTTCGGGGCTGTGGTGCCTTGGGTTGGCGTTTGCTGCCGGTTGTCTTGCCTCCTTGGGGGGTGCGTGGTGTCCGCCTCCCGGTTCTGTCCCTTTGACCTTCCTCTGTGGGTAGTTAGCTCCGAGGAGCCGACGGGGCTCCCCCCAGAAAACCAGCGTTGAATGTAATGAAACGCCATTTTCTGGGTGAGACCCGGAGGCTCCCCGGCAACCCTCCCTCCCTCCGGTCGGCGGTTTTTCGCGTGTTTTGACATCCAGCCTCAGAACTGATGGGTGGATAGCCGGCGTGGGAGGTCTGGGGCTCCCCCTTCCCCCTCCCGGGGAGGGGGGAGCTGCGCAGACAGCGGCGCGGTGACGTATGACGTCATACTAGTTTCCTTGTTTTCTGTTGAGTTCTATCCACTAGTTCGGCTTTAGGTAGCAATTTTCACCAGAATAGGGGTTTGTTTTGGAATGCTTACCTTTCTGAATGCTTGACCCGGTCGATGGCAGACATAGAATGCTTCCAACCACACGGGGGTTTCTATAGGCCATTACTCCCCTTGCCTCTCTGAGGGGGCCAGGTTCTGGCCGTGGTCCCCGGTAGGCCCTAGAATTCCATACACATGACTGATGCCAAAGTCTGACATTAGCATATCAGCCGGTAAAGCTCCGGGGAGCCGACGGGGCTCCCCCCAGAAAACCAGAGTTGAATGTAATGAAACGCCATTTTCTGGGTGAGTCCCGGAGGCTCCCCGGAGCTATCCCAGGCTGATATGCTAATGTCAGACTTTGGCATCAGTCATGTGTATGGAGTTCTAAGGCCTACCGGGGACCACGGCCAGAACCGGGCCCCCTCAGAGAGGCAAGGGGAGCAATGGCCTATAGAAGCCCCCGTGTGATTGGAAGCATTCTGTCTGCCATCGATCGGAACAGGCACCCAGAAAGGTAAGCGCCTCAAAACAAACCCCTATTCTGGTTAAAATTGCTACCAAAAGCCGAACTAGTGGATAGAACTCCCCAACAGAAAACAAGCAAACTAGTGTGACGTCACACGCCGCCGCGCTGCTGTCTGTGCAGCTCCCCCCTCCCCGGGAGGGGGGAAGAGGGAGCCCAAGACCCTCCACACAGGCTACCCACACCTCAGTTCTTGAGGCTGGATGTAAAAAATGTGAAAAAAACGCCGACCTGAGGGATGGAGGGATGGAGGGATGCCGGGGAGCCTCCGGGACTCACCAAGAAAATGGCGGTTCATTACATTCAACCCTGGTTTTCTGGGGGGAGCCCCGTCGGCTCCCTGGAGCTAACTACCCACAGACGGAAAAAGAGGGACTTACCCGGGAGGCGGTCGTCGCTCACTCCTCAACTCGAAGCTGAGACAACTGGCTGCAACCGCCGACCCAAAGCAACACAGGCCCGACGAGGCCCAGGGACATTCACAAGGTAACGGGCAGCCAGGACCCTGTTCGACCGCCAAAATCCCCACGCCTGAATATCAGACCAAGACATATTCCCAAAGACGGCAGCAAGAGTTGCGAACTTACGAACGTCATGGGCACGGGGATAGACCGCAGGCTGGCTGGACTTAATAACCCTGTGGACGACCTGGGAGACCCGAACCCGCGAACAGGGAAGAAGGGAAACCGGATCAACCCACAGCGTGTCCCTGGACACAGAAGCCGTGGCGCGCAAATAATGGCGAAGCGCCACAACCAGATACAAAACATGATGCACCCCCGGCCTGACCAACCAAGCATCAACCACCCACGAACCCCTCCGGAACGCATCAGTCTCCTTCGTCAGAAAAGAAGGAGACGGCTGCAAGCGAACAAAACAATCACCACGACCAAAAGAGCAGAAACCCCTGCGCCGGAGGAGAGCATGAAGCTCCCCTACCCGACCCCCAGAGGCCAAAGCCAACAAGAAAAGTGCCTTGGAAAAACAATCCTGGACTGAAGGGGGCCCACAACGAAACGAGGAGACGAAGGGAAAGCGAGCACTGTGTCCAAAGACCAGGACTGCTCAGGCCGGGCACGAGCAAGCCGGAGGTGAAACAATGCACGAGATAGCTTGCAAAACGGTGCAGACGTATCATCGATACCGAAGGCAAGCTGAAGCGGCTCCGCCAGCGCCCCACGATATGAGGCGACAGTTTTTTTTTTATTATTATTATTTTCTACCACAGACGTGGCCACACATTTACAATGCTAACCAGCATATGTACATTTTCTTCTGTCCTCCATGGACAGGGTTAGAGAAATGTTAAACATATAGTTCAAGGGTTTATTGAACACTCAACCACAGAAGGTGATTCGGTGCTTTTAAAATGCTAAAATGCCCTACATAAAGTGTTTGATGTGTCTTTTATACATAGTGTCATTAATGTACATTCACAAAGGTGAAATGTAATTCTGATCAGCTTCCATATATACTTTATACCCATACATATACATACACACACACATATACATACATATATACACACACATGCATTCACATACATTTGTCTCATTTACTCTGACAGGGTGAGATAGCTGATAAAGAAACTAGTGTGCAATTAAGCACTTAATCACTGAAGGTGATGAAGGTGCTTTTACAAGCTCAGGTTATATAGTTACATCATATATATACATTGTATAATTGATATATTACATGGTCAATCTTGGATACAAGTCCAATATATCATCAAGTGTTCCAGTACTCATATAATAATTATAGAGTTCAGCATACCTTAGACCAGGAGGGCGCAAGTCAGTCAGTATGGGACATTCTACAATATAATGTTCAAGAGAGAGCATGTTTTCTCTTTCACAAAGTTCACACATTGTGTACTCGACATTTATGTTTTGAGAAAGCTGCCAGATACGTCTATATCCCAGGCGTATTCTGGCCACTATAACATCACATTGCCGGGTTCTTGTTCTATTAGTCCCATATGTGAATGTCTCCTCACGATATCTATCATAATATTTAATGCTACAACTTTCAGGTCTTTGTGAATTTGTTAGGTCGGTGAGATTTTCATTAGATATTTGTTTAAGTATTCTCTTTGTCACTGCTAATGAAACACCCATACCAATTCCTACCACTGGTTTTCTGCAGGCTGTCTTAGCAAGCATATCAACAGTGTCATGCCTTGAGATGCCAACATGTGATGGTATCCATAGGAATTTAATCTCAAATCTGTTTTCTTTAGCAGCTAAAACATTCATTCGAATATCACTGACTATTTTAGGCATAAGATGACGGTCCCGAAACAACCACGAGAGGAAGGACAAGACCACCTGAACAGACAAGGAACTAACACGACGAAGACACAAAAAGAAACAGGACCGCCAGGACACTTCATACTGCCGCCAAGAAGAAGCCCTCAGGTGGGACACCAACAAGGAGGCCACCTGATCACCATAGAGATGATGCTAAACTCAAGTCAAAAAACCCATACGCGAAGACTCGAGGAGAAGATCGAACCAGCCACGTGACGTACCGGCCCGATCTGCTGAAAGAGGTGGAGCTGCGGGAAAACCCTTGGGTTTGGACACCGAACAACCAGCGCCTGAAACCAAGGCTGGGCCGGCCACCAAGGGGCCAGAAGGACAACTCTCCCCTGGTAAGTCTCTAAGCGAGTCAGGACCTGGAGCAACAGCCGAACTGGAGGAAAGCGGTACAGGAACCCCCACCTCGACCAGTCTACCCGAAAGGCATCGACCCCGACAGCCTCGCAATCGGGGAAGGGCGCCGCATACACAGGAAGACGCCGCGATCACGCCGACGCGAAGAGGTCCACCTCGGGGCGCCCGAACGTCTGGCAAAGCCAACGGAAGGACTCGTCGTCGACCGTCCACTCCGTGGAGAGGGGAACGAAGCAAGACAGGGCGTTGGCCAAGACGTTGGACAATCCCTGTACGTGAACCGCCAGGAGAGCCAAACCCCGAGAACTCAGCAGACAAGTCACCTGAAGCGACCAACCCCAAAGAGACAAGGACCGCATCGAACCCCCGCTGTTCAGGCAATGAACCACCGGAGAGCAGTCCAAATGGAGCCGAATCGTCGATCTGCGGGCCACCCGAATCCTCCCAAGAGCGAACCACACTGTCGCGAACTCCCACACCGTGCTGTGAGCTCGACGGAAGGACGGATCCCAACGCCCCTGGCCGGCCTGGTGAGCACTGGTCACAAAACCCCAGCCGAGAGACGACGCATCCGTGTACACATCGAGCGAGGGCTCGGGTAGGCGCCAAGGCATTAACCCCGAAAACCCGAAGAGGAAGCCGGTAACGCAGCAACCGACGCAAGGCCCCTGGGGGTCGAACTCAGCGATTGCGAGAGAGGCGGAAGGGGGGACCCCGAAGGAACCAGAACAGCTGACGAAGCCAAACCCAACCCAGCGGGTAGACCACCATTGCGAAGTTCAGGCTCCCTACAGCCCCTCGAGCAACCGCTGGGTGACTCGAGGGGCCCATCAGAAACAGACAAAGGTGGGACCGCAGCCGCAGGAGAGACTCCAGAGGGAGAGACAAGGAGGCGGTTCGAGTCCCAATCGAGACCCAGCCAAGTCCGAACCTGAGAGGGAACCAGATGGAACTTCCTCCAGTTCACCAAGAACCCGAACTCGGCGAGCTGGGAAAGAACCAAATCCCTGGCTAGCAAGCAAGCTGACCGGCTGGGAGCCCAAACCAGCCAGTCGTCGAGGTAGGCCAACACCCGAACACCTAGGAGACGCAAACGAGCCACCACAACCCGTGTAAGGCGCGTGAACACGCGAGGTGCCAGGTTCAACCCGAACGGGAGACAACGAAAGCGGAAACTCGGACGCCCCACAACAAAACCGAGCCAGTCCCTGAACCACGGATGAATCGGGACATGCCAATAAGCGTCCCGGAGGTCCAGGGACACCATCCAAGCGCCCGGCTCCAAGAGGAGCCGAACCTGAGACAGCGTAGTCATCCGAAAGGAGGGGCAATGAATCCAGGGGTTCAGACGGCACAAGTCCAGAATGAACCGCAGGTCCGCGCAGTCCCGTTTCGGAACCGGAAACAGACGGGAAACCCATCTGAGGGACGACGTCGTTTCGACGACGCTCAAGCGTATCCACTCCAAGACGACTCGACAGAGCGCAGGGGAAGAAACCTGCCCTGCCAGCCCCGACCCCCCAAAGGGGGGAGGGGCCACCCAACGCCACCGCAGGCCGCCAGACACGACCCGAAAGGCCCACGAATCGTGGGACCAGGCGCAGGCAAACAGCGCAAGCCGCCCCCCCCATTGCACCGTCAATGGGGCAAACCGCGAAAGGGCCAGCGACCCTTACGAGACCCAGAACCCAGCACAGAGCGAACACCGCGCCGACCAGACGAGGGAGGGTCCGGAGTAGGAGCCAAACCCGAACCTAACATCAGAGGCCTACCACGACAAGAGGAACCCCGAGCCCTGGCACGACCCTTCCGGGAAGACCCACCCCGTGACCCCCGGAAAACCAGCAAGTCCGACATCGGACAACAAGCTGCCGACGCAGCCTGAATAAACTGCGCCACGGCCGACTCCTCAAACAGAAGAGGACAAAAAGGTGAAGAACGCATAAGAGCCAGAGCCCAAGCAGATTCCACGGAGGAACCCAGCATCGTCTGCCAACACGCGAGACGGGAAGCATAAAACAGGGAAACCGTATTCCGCAAAATCGGCGTGAACAGCTTCAACAAGGCAGCCGAGGACAAGGTGCCGGACCCCGGGATGGACCCAAGCGACCTCACATCCTCCACGAGCCAATCCGAGGACAGCTCCAGGAGGGAAAAGAACCGCAAGGCCGAAGCCAAAAGGCCCCGGGCGCGCATTGCAAGTCCTCCGCAATGAGCGCCGCCGAAAGGGTGGGAACCTGCACATGGAGCTGAATAACACCTACATCGCGGGGAAGGGCAGGGGCAAACAAGCACTCATTCAGGTACTCAAGATTGCCCCCCAGGAAAACCTGAAGTACCGTGGAAGCTTCCCGCCACTCCAATGTGCGGGAACGACAGAAGGAATGCCAGGAATCCAAAACAAACAAGGGGCAGTCCACTAGCCAGGAAGACTCCGGAACCTCGTAACGGAGCCAGAAAGGGAACGAAGTCCCAAACCTGATCTCGGACGGATCCATTTCCGAGGCATAATCCGGGTCACGCAGGAGGTAAGCTGCAAAGGCCGCCCGCACCACACCAGGTTGGATGCGATAAGCCGAAAACCTCCAGAAAGATGGAACCGACGTACCCGGGGGAACACGGAACCGAACCCGGGGAGGGGCCGACACCAAATCCAACTCGTACGCAGAAGGGGGAAAAGAAAACCCCACTCCTTGTAACAATAAGCCCCGCTTAGAGGGAAGAAAAACCCAGGCGGGGTCCAGCAGGGCCCAAGGCCCCCAAGTCAGCCACTCCCCAGCCTCGAGGTCCTTCACCATAGGATCCGAGGCAGAGTCCTCTCTCCAAGCCCCGACCCCACAAGAAAAGGACGGAACAGCCGGAAAAGCTGGAGGAAGAGGGGCCCACTGGTCAGACTCAGAAGCTTCGGCCGGGAGACAAGACTCGAATGCCTCTGCCGCCCCCCCGGAAGGGGCACCCCCGAAGCTGCCCGAGTCTCGAGATCAAGTAACCCCTGCTCCGACCTCGAAACCCTCAGACACTTTGGGGCCGGAAGCAGGGGGGGGGGACCAGATCGAACAGAAGGGGAAGGACGAGGAGGTGCGGACTGAACCAGGATTGAAGCGACTCCCACCCCCAAGTCCGGGTCTCAAAAAGCAAAGCGGGGCAGCCCCGGGGCATCCGGGTGAGCAACCAACCGAGCGCGTTGCAACAGACGAAACCTAGATTGCAACGCACGCGCCGCCTGTACCCGAAGAGAATCATCAGAGGATTGGGTAAATTGAGTCACAAGCAAGCAGCAACACTCACAGGACTCAGGGTCGAAAGTATCACCGACTCAACAGGCAGCGTGGCAGAGGCAAAAACAATGAGGGTCACCCTGAGACAAGGGGACCGAGCAACCCTCAAACTCGCACACAGCGAGCGGGGACTCCGGGGTCACATTCATCGGACCCACGTGCCCCCTAGGAGATTCCCAGGGTACTGAGCGTTTACTTTAAGAGGACTCGCACTCAGGTAGTTCCAGGCAGGGCGCTGCTAACCGGCGCCCAAAACTACCAAGCGAACTTCTATAGCTGTACCCCAAGGACGTGTACTCTTACAGGGTCCTTGGGGCGCCACCGAGGAGAACAGTGAAAGGGCAAAAACTAATGGAATAATATGACAGAACCCCCCACCAGGCAAAAACAAAAAGAAAACCAAAACCCCGCAAGAGGACAGCAAACCCCAAGGAACAGAGCCGGTTGCTATGTCGGGAATACAAGCTGTGCAGCACCCTGCACCCCTACCAGTGCAAACTGCCTCTTACCTGCCGGTAACAAGGGAGAACAGAACATCCAAGAGCCCAACAGGCGGTCGAAAAACCGAAAAGGTAAAACGGACCAGCAGAGGCAGACCCCGAGGAGCCTGTGGAAGGTGGCCCCAAGCCCCAAGGGCAGTACTTACAGGGCACCTAGGGAAGGCAGCCCTAGGCGCATGCAACCCGAGTACTGAAGATAACTCCTGACTCTCGCACCCACAAAAACAAACACCACACACAAATCACAGTGCTGTAGCAACACCGGAGCCAGAGCACACGACCTTCACCTATAGCATCAGCCTCAAGAACTGAGGTGTGGGTAGCCGGCGCGGGGGGTCTGGGGCTCCCCCTTCCCCCTCCCGGGGAGGGGGGAGCTGCACAGACAGCGGCGCGGCGACGTGTGACGTCACACTAGTTTGTTTGTTTTCTGTTGGGGAGTTCTATCCACTAGTTTGGCTTTTGGTAGCAATTTTAACCAGAATAGGGGTTTGTTTTGAGGCGCTTACCTTTCTGGGTGCCTGTTCCAGTCGATGGCAGACATAGAATGCTTCCAACCACATGGGGGCTTCTATAGGCCATTGCTCCCCTTGCCTCTCTGAGGGGGCCCGGCTCTGGCCGTGGTCCCCGGTAAGCCTAAGAACTCCATACACATGACTGATGTCAAAGTCTGACATTAGCATATCAGCCTGGGATAGCTCCGAGGAGCCGACGGGGCTCCTCCCAGAAAAGCCTGATTACTGATACAAACAGCATTATGCTGTACAATACATTATGTTATTAAATATATAATACTGAAAATAAACATTTACAACTACCTTCCCAATGGGATTACAAGTACAGTACAGCAATATTTTTTTTTTTGTTTACCTGGTTAAAAATTCCTCTTGTGTAAGTGATTCATCATGTACCACGATATTGCAGGGACCCGGTTGGGCTATTCTGTCCTTAGATTTGGTCACCCTGTAATGAAATAATACCTCTAGTTGTGATATTCTGAAAAGTTGGCAACTGACCTGTTTCCAGTTTTGCTTCACACTAGATACTAAGAACGCAAAGGGCCATAATGCTTAGATGAACATTACTTTCTTTAATCAATCCCCATAACACAAAACAAAATATTTGCACTTCTGTATTTTCATTATGGGCATATGCTGAAGACATACTGTATTTGTATTAGACTGATGTTTTCAAGTGATACTTGAAAACATTTTAGTATGTTTAGTACAGTGGCAGGTAGTACAGTTCAACCAAGAGACAGTTCGTACACAAAAAAATTCTTAAACTGAAACAAATTTTCCCCATAAGAAATACTTTAATGTAAATTTAATTAATCCGTTCCACACACCCAAAAATATTAACCTAAAAATACATTTTATACAGAATACTACTCATATTTTTTACTATACCTTATCTTTATTGAGGACTCTTGTTGGGGTATGGAAGACAGTGTGGAGGGAGGGAGGGAGAAGAGGTGTTAGTGTTTGGAAGGGGCGTCTCCTTCCATTATAACTTTAGGCAGTGATGACATTGCTGGGATATACTCACTCACTCACTCACACTCACTCATTCTCACACTCTCACACACTCTCTCTCACACATTTTCTCATAGAGAAAATAGTAGGTTTAGGAGAAGGCTCAAAGGAAAATGTCAGTGATTTTAGAAGAATAGGAAAATATGAGAAAGAAAAGAACCGCCCCTTAAGGGTGACGTTTAATGGAGTGAAAAACATGATGGAAGTGCTAAGAAATGCCAGGAAACTGCAGAGTGATGAGGTTGGCAAATTTTGGTCAATAAGACAAGACCTCTCCAAGGAAGACAGAGAAAAGCTGAAAATGAACCTAATTGAGGCAAAACGTCTAAATGGGGATAGAAATGAAGAAGACAGAAATTCTTTTTTTTTACAAAGTGACAGGGACTGGAAAGCTTGTGAAATGGTACATAAAAACAAAGCAACAAGATCAGTAGTGGAAGGGGGAGTAAAGAGCAAAGGAAAAGGGAACATGTTCCTGAAAATTGTATATACCAACATAGATGGAGTGAGGTCAAAAACTTTGGAGTTGCAAGATATAATCCAGCTTAGGGTCCCAGATATTGTTGCATTATCAGAGACGAAACTTGAAGGAAATATAATAAATGAAGTCATATTCCCAAGAGGCTACTCAGTTTGGAGACGTGACAGGAAAACTAGGAAGGGAGGAGGAGTGGCTGTACTGGTGAAAAAACACCTGAAGGTAAAAAGAGTTAATATTTGAAAACCCTCTAGATATTGACATAATGGCATTGCAGGTCTGGAATCAGGATGATAAGCTGATAATTGTAAATACCTACAGCCCACCAGCAAGCAACACGTGGACAAAGGAAGAACTGGATGACAAACGAGAGGGCCTCATAATGGTCATGAGAGATATTATTGTACAAGCAGATAAAGATAAATCACGACTGTTGATACTGGGGGACTTCAACTTTAGAGCAATAGACTGGGAGGCCTGTGAAGCAAGAACGGAGGACTTTTGGACATGCAGATTTGTGAACCTCATTCTGGAGACATTCTTGTATCAACACATAAAGCAAGCCACAAGAATGAGGGAAGGAGATGTACCGTCAGTACTGGATCTAGTATTCACCAGGAAAGAAGAAGAGATTTTTGACATCCAGTACTTTCCTCCCTTGGGAAAGAGTGATCACGTCCTGTTAGACATTAAATATGCTTTAAGATATCATCTAGGAGAAAATGGGGACATTGAAACAGTTGATAAACTCGATTTAAGGAGAGGCAACTATGGGGAACTTCGAAATTTTTTTAATGAGTGTAATTGGACAGAATTGTTGCTAGGCAGGGAAGTAAATGAAATGTATGCCAAATTTTTAAAACTATACGAGGAAGGCACACAAACATTCATACCAAAACAGAGATGCAGGGCCAGAAAACAGGATTGGTTCGACAGAAATTGTGAGAGGGCAAGAGACCAAGACACAAAAATGGAATCAGTATAGGAAGAGGCCAAACCCCCAAACATACCAGCGATACAAAGATGCGAGAAACAACTATACAGCAGTAAGGAGAGAGGCAGAAAGAAATTTTGAAAAAGGGATAGCAGATAAATGTAAAACAGAACCGGGCCTATTCTACAAATTCATAAACAACAAATTGCAGGTAAAGAATAATATCCAGAGGTTGAAAATGGGAAACAGATTCACGGAAAATGAAAAGGAAATGTGCGAAACATTAAATGAAAAGTTCCTAAGTGTGTTTGTACAAAATGAAATCTTCAGAGAACCAGACACAATAAGAATTCCAGAGAACAACATAGAGCGGATAGAGGTGTCTAGAGATGAAGTGGAAAATATGCTAAAGGAGCTCGGGAAGAACAAAGCAGCTGGCCCAGATGGCGTTTCACCATGGGTTCTGAGAGAATGTGCATCTGAGCTCAGCATTCCACTTCACCTGATCTTTCAGGCATCCCTGTGTACAGGAATCGTAGCAGACGTGTGGAAACAGGCTAACATAGTTCCAATCTACAAAAGTGGCAGCAGGAAAGACCCCCTCAATTATAGACCTGTATCATTGACAAGTGTAATAGTGAAAGTATTGGAAAAGCTAATCAAAACTAAATGGGTAGAACACCTGAGAGAAATGATATAATATCAGACAGACAGTATGGTTTTCGATCTGGAAGATCCTGTGTATCGAATTTACTCAGTTTCTATGATCGAGCCACAGAGATATTACAGGAAAGAGATGGTTGGGTTGACTGCATCTATCTGGACCTAAAAAAGGCTTTCGACAGAGTTCCACATAAGAGGTTGTTCTGGAAACTGGAAAATATTGGAGGGGTGACAGGTAAGCTTCTATCATGGATGAAAAATTTTCTGACTGATAGAAAAATGAGGGCAGTAATCAGAGGCAATGTATCGGAATGGAGAAATGTCACAAGTGGAGTACCACAGGGTTCAGTTCTTGCACCAGTGATGTTTATTGTGTACATAAATGATCTACCAGTTGGTATACAGAATTATATGAACATGTTTGCTGATGATGCTAAGATAATAGGAAGGATAAGAAATTTAGATGATTGTCATGCCCTTCAAGAAGACCTGAACAAAATAAGTATATGGAGCACCACCTGGCAAATGGAATTTAATGTTAATAAATGTCATGTTATGGAATGTGGAATAGGAGAACATAGACCCCATACAACCTATATATTATGTGAGAAATCTTTAAAGAATTCTGATAAAGAAAGAGATCTAGGGGTGGTTCTAGATAGAAAACTATCACCTGAGGACCACAAAGAATATTGTGCAAGGAGCCTATGCGATGCTTTCTAACTTCAGAATTGCATTTAAATACATGGATGGCGATATACTAAAGAAATTGTTCATGACTTGTTAGGCCAAAGCTAGAATATGCAGTTGTTGTGTGGTGCCCATATCTTAAGAAGCACATCAACAAACTGGAAAAGGTGCAAAGACATGCTACGAAGTGGCTCCCAGAACTGAAGGGCAAGAGCTACGAGGAGAGGTTGGAAGCATTGAACATGCCAAAACTAGAAGACAGAAGAAAAAGAGGTGATATGATCACTACATACAAAATAGTAACAGGGATTGATAAAATCGACAGGGAGGATTTCCTGAGACCTGGCACTTCAAGAACAAGAGGTCATAGATTTAAACTAGCTAAACACAGATGCCAAAGAAATATAAGAAAATTCACCTTCGCAAATAGAGTGGTAGACGGTTGGAACAAGTTAAGTGAGAAGGTGGTGGAGGCCAAGACCGTCAGTAGTTTCAAAGCGTTATATGACAAAGAGTGCTGGGAAGACGGGACACCACGAGCGTAGCTCTCATCCTGTAACTACACTTAGGTAATTACATGAAAGTAAAATGAAAAATGAAAATAAAGGAAAAAACAAGCTGCCGACCAGTGGGCAGAGAGCACCACGCCAACCAGACAAAGAAGGCACCAAGATAGCACCAAAACTGCACCAAAAGGCCCACCACGACAACAAAAACCCAAGGCCCGGCACAACCACAACACGTGCCAAGATCCAAAAAGATCAGCCTGCAAACCAGGAAGACCCCAGAAACCCAAACCCAGAAGGCAGAACTGGGTCACAAACGAGGTAACAAAAGCCCCCTGAACCCACAAAAGGTGCCCAAGAGGAAGAAACCTCCGGAACGAACCCAAAGGAATCCGGAAGAGCCCACACTTCCACATTTGCCGGTGGAATTACACCACAGTAGGGCAAAGCACAGCACCCAGACAGAACCCCCAGGGAAACGGCCAAAAACAGACCGAAAACCGAGGGACAAGGTGTGGGAGCAAACATAAACAGACAGGGACACTTGAGCCCAAATCCTAGGGGTCAGATCCAAAACAGACAGAAAAAGTAAAAACCGCTATAAAAACCAACACCCAAGCGTTCCCAGAGGAACAGAAGATGGGTATAAAACCCCAGAAAAGCAAAGAAACGGCAACAGGAGGATAAAATCCCTGAAAGTGAAAAAACTCGCCCAAAATGTGAGCTCCCACACACCAGTAGAGGTAAACAAACCCCAGCGCCGCCCTGGTGGCCAAGCGGGGAGTTATTCGTAGAAAAGAAAATGGCCACAACACCAAGGAGCCGTGACCGACGCAATAGAGCCGAAAACACGCCAGCAAATGTGGGAAGCAAGCAGACTAGAGGGACGAAAAACCCCCGCCCAGAAGCAGAAGACCCAGGAAGGGGCAAACAGCCCCAGAACTGCAAGCGGGCATCTTTCTTGAGGCATATAGAACATCTACGATTATTTACACATTTACATGAAATAAACATTGTTCTGAGAGTGAGAGTTTCTCCGTCGATCGATCTCTCCAGGGGTCGGAGCTCGGCTAATATAAAAGTACATGCATCTTCGCTTTAAATTTAAATATGCCCATAGTAAGGTATTTACAACAAAGCTTATATTTCTATCTTTCTTGCGACATATAAAAGTCTTACGTTTATTAACGAATCTGCATGAAATAGGAATTGTTCTGAGATGACTGCTGCAGGTTTCGAGCTCGACGAACGATAATAACGGCTACTTTTATACAACTACAAATATCTTCAGTTTTACTTAAAATATTTGCCTGGTAGAGGTTTTATATATACATCCCATTTCTATCTTTCTTCTGACTTATAAATAATTTTGGTTTAATAAGTTATTAAGATGTTTTCAACAATATTCTTTCGGCGTTCGTCTATTCCAACATGGGGGACCCTTTTGGAAACGTGATACTTGGGTTGACCCATCCCATAGTTGGGTCTGATTCCAACAAGGGTTCGAATATGTTCACTCATAGGATGAGTGATGCTGCCCAATAACCAAGTCCTCCAAAGCAAAAAAAAAAAAAAAAAAAATGAGTTAGGCAAGCTCTGCCTAAATTGTTTGGTTAGGTATAAGCTAGGATTTCGTTATGTTAGCTTAGAGGCAAGCTAGGTCTAGTTTGTGTTTGATTAGGTGCAAACTAAGCCTAGTTTATGTCTGATTAGGTGCAGGCTAGGTCTAGATTATGTCTGATTAGGTGTAGACTAGGTCTAGGTTATGTCTGATTAGGTGTAGGCTAGGACTAGGTTATGTCTGATAGGGTGCAGGCTAGGTCTAAGTTATGTCTGATAGGGTGTAGGCTAGGTTTAGGTTATGTCTGATTAGGTATTGGTTAGGTCTAGGTTATGTCTGATTAGGCGCAGGCTAGGGCTAGGTTCTGTCTGATAGGTGCAGGCCACATAATAAAAGTATTTGAAAGAGTGATCAGGAGTCAGGTCACTAGATTCATGGAAACCAATGACCTCCACAATCCAGGCCAACATGGATTTAGAGCAGGAAGATCATGCCTCTCACAGCTACTTGACCACTATGACAAAATCACTGAGGCATTATAGGAAAAACATAATGCAGATGTCATATACACAGATTTTGCAAAGGCATTCGACAAATGTGACCATGGAGTGATTGCACACAAAATGAGGTCAATGGGTATAACTGGTAAAGTAGGACGCTGGATACTCAATTTCCTGTCGAACAGAACACAAAGATTAGCAGTCAATCAATTAAAATCGAGTCCGAGCGCAGGTAAAAGCTCTGTACCCCAAGGTACAGTCCTTGCACCACTGCTGTTCCTTATTCTCATATCAGATATAGACAAAAACACAAGTCACAGCTTCGTGTCATCATTTGCAGATACAAAAATCAGCATGAAAATTACCTCTACTGAAGACATTGATAAACTACAAGCAGATATTAACAAAGTTTTCGATTGGGCAGCAGAAAATAACATCATGTTTAACGGTGATAAATTCCAGGTACTCAGATACGGCAAAAATGAGGATCTTAAACATAATACAGGGTACAAAACACAATCGAATCTGCCCATAGTAGGAAAACAGCATGTCAAGGATTTGGGAATAATGATGTCCGATGACCTAACATTTAGGGAGCATAACCAAACAAGTATTGCATCAGCCAGAGAAATGATAGGATGGATTATGAGAAGCTTCAAGTCCAGAGATCCCATCACAATGGTTGTACTCTTCAAGTCACTTGTGTTGTCCCGTCTTGAGTACTGCTCAGTACTCACTTCCCCCTTCAGAACAGGAGAGATTGCTGAAATTGAGGGAATACAGAGAACATATACGGCACGCATAGACGAGATAAAGCACCTAATTTATTGGGATCGTCTCAAAGCTCTCCAAATGTACTCACTAGAAAGGAGACGAGAGAGATACCAAATAATATACTCATGGAAAATACTGGAGACAGGTCCCAAATCTGCAGAGTAAAATAACAATGTACTGGAGTGAACGACATGGAAGAAATGCAGAATAGAACCAGTGAAGAGCAGAGGTGCCATGGGCACAATCAGAGAACACTGTATGAACATCAGAGGGCCACGGTTGTTCAACGTCCTACCAGCGAGCATCAGAAATATTACAGGAACAACCGTGGACATCTTCAAGAGGAAACTAGATTATTTCCTTCAATGAGTGCCGGACCAACCGGGCTGTGGTGGGTATGTGGGCCTGCGGGCCGCTCCAAGCAATAGCCTGGTGGACCAAACTCTCAAGTCAAGTCTGGCCCCGGGCCGGGCTTGGGGAGTAGAACTCCCAGAACCCCATCAACCAGGGTAGGTCTAAGTTATGTTTGATAGGTGCAGGCTAGGTCTAAGTTATGTTTGATAGGTGCAGGCTAGGTCTAAGTTATGTCTGATAGGGTGTAGGCTAAATCTTTGGGAGTTTGAATGGTGGGGCGACTTGTCCTGAACCCATCCACGCATTTCACCTTTACACAAACACTACAAACTGACCAACCAATCATACTTATGAATTGAAAAATGAATAAACTATGATGAACTCCGCCAACTTAGAACATCTAAAAAGTAGACATCATCCTTAACGTTTACTGTAAGTATAATTAACACAAAGTTACTATAAGCCTCACCATCCGCCTTGGTGCTGCGTCGCCCTCAGGACCCCACAGGCGCTAATCACCACCACCACCACCTCTACTGTCCTCATGCTGCCCTGGGGCCTCACACACACCGTACACACGGTACCTGGGGCCCTCACACACACCGTACACACGGTACCTGGGGCCCTCACACACACCGTACACACGGTACTTGGGACCCTCACACACACACGGTACCTGGGGCCTCACACACAAGGTGCCTGCATGGGGACCCCTCGCCGCGGTCGAGGGTAAGCCGTTCATTAGACGTAAACATTTATTTATTTATTTATTTATTTATTTATTTATTTATTTATTTATTTATTTATTTATTTATTTATTTATTTATTTATTTATATACAAGAAGGTACATTGGGTTTGTGAGAATACATTGGACAGTACAGTATTTACACTCTTGTAAAGCCACTAGTACGCGCAGCGTTTCGGGCAGGTCCTTAATCTAACAGATAATTTTAAGTAGGTAATTTCTATCAGAATTGATAAATGATAACAAATACATTGCAAGAGAAAAATGAGATGAGAGAGCTTAGTAAGTATATTAAAGCACATTGTTCTATTAAAGCTCTGATTGATTACATTGACAGCTTGATTAGTAATTTAAACAAGATTAATAGACACCATACAGCAGATTGACAGCACATATAAGACAGCAATGATCACAATGGTAAATATGTTCAGATTGGGTACATAAAGATTGGGAGACTGGCAACAAGCCAGGGAGATTAGCAACAACCATTATGATAAGTTCCTTGACCTATACACATACACACACACACAACAGAGATATTAGAAAGAACTTTTTTAGTGTTAGAGTGGTTGACAAATGGAATGCATTAGGTGATATGGTGGAGGCTGCATGACTCCATACACAGTTTCAAGTGTAGATATGATAGAGCCCAATAAGCTCAGGAACCTGTACACCTGTTGATTGACGGTTGAGAGGCGAGACCAAAGAGCCAGAGCTCAACCCCCGCAAACACAACTAGGTGAGTACAACTAGGTGAGTACAGAGAGAGAGAGAGAGAGAGAGAGAGAGAGAGAGAGAGAGAGAGAGAGAGAGATCTGTGAAATAACTGAGACTCGCATACAAGACCAACTGGCTTATAAAATAAATAAATAAATGTTTATTTAGGTAAGGTACATACATACAAGAGATTTTACAAAGAATGATGGATTTATAGATAGGGCTAGTACATACAATGCCTAAAGCCACTATTTCTGATCTAGGAGGAATAAGACACCAACAGCATGGGGGCCTATTTATTTAATTAATAGTAGAACAAGTAAATAATTTTTTGCAGACCATGTTAATGAAGCAGCTAACTTGTATAATTTACAACAGCATAAAATATACATGTATAACTTGACTACACTACAACAATTTAATAACATTAATACATATGCTTATAGCCGGTAACTAAATAAAACATGGTCTGCAGATCGCCGAATCCTTATTATCTGTGTACAAGTAAGGCAAACGTTTAACATAATATTTTGACCAGGGGGAAAAAGACACAGGCCGATTGGGGCTTAAATTTTATTAGTAAATTAAATTCTGCAGAACATGTAAATAATATAAGTAGGAATTAACAAATGTAACATGTCCATGTCTGAGGACTAAATTAACTTAAAATGTACCCCCTTAGTAGTAAGCATAGCCTATTACATGGCAAACACGTTCTGCAGAAACCTAATGGCAGAAGAAATGTAATTAGAACTAGGTATAACAGTCAGGACACAAAGGGGAAATAAAGTGTATAGACACAACACTTAACGGAGCCCGACCAAGACATAATGGGAAATCCTAGAATTAACAGGCGGGCAGAAAATACCTAGTGACTGGGGAAAACTGATATGACAAATGGGAGAAGTTTTCCCAGGGCGTGAGGCCGGCCGCCAAGGAATAAGGAGAAGGGTTTCCTTACTCTTACTAGCACCTAGACTGGGCAAAGGATTAGCTGTGGACAGCGGGACACTTGGGGACCGGAGCTGCACCCCCACCGCAGGCCAGCTGGCTGGAACCCCCCCCCCCCCGAAGGGCGAGGCCCGCTGGCCGCAAGGAGGCTTCAGAGTGGCAGAGCAACAACGTCCCGGACCTAGTCCGGGACGACTCAAATAGAAAACGGAACAGAACGTCACTTTTGTGAGTCGATTTCATTTCAAATTACGTCCAAATTTGGCCATAGTGCGCATACGAGCCAAAAGTGACGTTATTTTTAAGAGGACGGGTTGGCACAGCAGCCCTCTAAAATTTCTTTATTGAAGGTCAACATTGTTCGAAATGGATAACTAAAACTGGAACTGAATTCAGAATGTATCAGATTTATCATTTATACCAAGAGAGACAACAATGGCACTTTTCTGCACCGTGGGAAAATTACACCCTTTCCAATTTTAATCCCCCGTTTCCACCCAAGAAGCAAATTAGAGATCAGCATAAGCTTCGTTTTGAGGCAAAGCTCAACACCTCAGTCCATAGTGATGCTCTGTACACAGAGCATTCTTTCTCTCAAAACATATACACTGATGGTTCATTACACCGCACCACGGGTGCAGCTGGAAGTGCAGTTGTCCTGACAATGGGCGATGGCTTATATTTTGAGTGGGGAGTCCGTATAAACAACTGGGCCTCTACCCTTCTGACCGAACTATTTGCCTTACTTCTTGCATTGAATTGTGTACAAGTCTCCAAACTTGATACATTAACTGTAAGTGACTCTTTATGATCCTTAATTGCTCCCAACTCTTTAAGACATAACTGTAACATGCTCGTGTCTGAAGCTAGACAAAAATACAACAAAATTATTAATGATGGTAACAGAGTCCATTTCATGTGGACTCCATCTCATGCTGGCCTCTGAATGCATGATAGAACTAATGAGTTAGCCAAGGAATCTGCCTTTAAAGGACAAAATGAGTATAACCTTGGATTGTCACTAAACATTCTTAGAGCAATAGTACACCAAGAACTTCAACAAAATTTTGTAGCTCTGAGGCAAAGAGAAATCGACACCAGTAATTCCATCTGTCATCATACTATCATGCAAGAGGAGCCACACATCTATGGTTCATCCAATAAAATCTACAGACTTCTAGATGTTACTACTGCTCGGCTTACACTCGGTTACAAGTATCTCTGGGAATTCTCATTATCTGCTGATGTAGACCTGACCAAATGTAAACTGTGTCAACAAAATTATTCGCACACCTTCCGTCACTATGTGATGGAGTGTGAAAAGATAGGCGAATTCAGAGACAATTCTATAACTAATGTTCCAGCAAAGTGTAAATATTTCATTAAAAATGATCTGCTACCAGAAATCTTAGCCAAATATCCCAGTTTGCTAACTGGAGGTAGTAACTAAGTGATTGTAATCTTTCCACCGCTGCCCACTGGATGGGGGGCGGTGTGCAGGACAAACATATCAATTGTGACACTAACTCTCTGCATATATCAGTTGCTTAATTTAGAACCTGTACTTGAGGTCGATCTCGAACCCATTGATGATGTGACACTGTGTATTGAATTTTGTAACTAGCTCATCAAGATTGTAACTTGCTTAAATAAATGAATTCTGGGGTTCAGTTCCTGAGCCCATTATGTGCCTCTGTAACCCTTTCCACTACCGTCCACAAAATGGGTATGGGGTGTATAATAAATGAACTAAACTAACACTCTACTCTCCTTTCATTATACTACACGCTAATCTATCCCTATCTTACATACGGCATCTGTGCATGAGGTTCAACCACTGCAAATTACCTCAAACCCATCATCACTCAGCAAATATCTGCTATCAGAACTATAACAAAGTCTGTCCTCAGACAACACACATCCCCTCTGTTTAAGTCTCTTAACTTGCTAAACATACACTCACTCCACACATTCTCATGTGCTATTTATATGTACAAAACCTTGTTCCTAAGTACTAATCTTGATCTGAAACTTTTCCTTGATTGGCGTAATAAAACCCATTAGCACCACAACAGAAATAAATATCTCTTTGATATCCCCAGTCTAACTAAATCTGTGCAAACACTCCATGAAAATAAAAAGATTGTAGCGATTAGATTATCACAATAATATACTCGCTCCTAACGCATTATCCTAATGAGAGAAGCAAAACCCTTCTTAGTACTAATTATGGAACACAAACCTTTCTCTACTTCCAGTTAATATTCCTGCCAACCTTTGGAAAACGGTGAGGTGTTGCCCGAGCATATAAGCAGCAGAGTAGCGAATAATAACTAGTCTACTTTCAAGTGTGGTCTAGAACAGACACTTGCGAGATACTGTACCGACTCTCAGTGCGTAGTGCAGGCACCACTCCTGTGCCAGGTAAGTCCACTACGGGCTCACCATAGCCCGTGCTACTTCCCCCGCTCCTGTGCCAGGTAAGTTACGGGCTCACCATAGCCCGTGGTACTTGGAACTTGTTCCGAGTAGCTGAATCTATAACAACAACAACTCTCAGAGCGCTCACCTCACACCATTGCTCGCCAAAGTATCACCTGCATACTTCTGTATACTCGACCAAATATATATATTCTCTTACTGTTTGTGTTTATTGTCACCATACTTTACGTAACAATAAAACCGTTACAAGAGTGTTCTTGAAAGTAAGAGTGTGGGAGCGCAGAGTGATCGAAACAAGGAAGTGAGTCTATGGACAGTACTCCCTAATGAATTAAAAAAAAATTCAACCTATGCCTTATTCAAAAGTAAAACAAAAAAATTACCTAATTTTATCCTCATAGTTTCCTACTTTGTGTTTCAAACTCACACTGTATCTTGTACTACCCACTATTCCAATATTAGTACTTAAGACATATATGTACTTAAGATTACCAGTGTAATCACATCTTATCAATCAAAATCAGAAATCAAAATATTAGATTAAGGACCTGCCCGAAACGATATGCTTGTTAGTAACTTTGCAAGAATGTACAAATACCAATCTTACGTAATCTCACAAACCCATTGTACCTTCTTGTGAATACAATTATTGTTATTATTATTATTATTAGTAGTAGTAATAACTTAAAACATTTAATAATAATAATAATAATAATAATATTTTATTTAGGTAAGGTACATACATACAATAAATTTTTACAAAGATTGGTTGACTTATAGGTAGAGCTAGTACATACAATGCCTAAAGCCACTATTACGCAAAGCGTTTCGGGCATGATAAACTTAAATGACAAGCTTAATACTAATTGAGCATACTGAGTAGATGAAAACAAGAAATGAAAACATAAATGAAAAAGCAGCACAAACACAAATATGTCGACAAACAGCGCTCTTTAAAGAAAAAACAGACATTGGTTGACAATAGAAGGGTAAGGTAGGTTACAGGGAATTTATTAGGTATAGCTTCGTTTTTAACTTAAACTGGTTGAGAGAGGTACAGTCTTTAACATGGTCGGGAAGGTCATTCCACATTCTGGGCCCCTTGATTTGTAGAGCATTTCTAGTTTGATTAAGTCGTACTCTAGGAATATCAAAACTGTATTTATTTCTGGTGTGGTGCTCATGGGTTCTGTTACAACCTTCTATGAAGCTTTTGAGATCAGGATTGGCATTATAGTTTAGCGTTTTATATATGTATAATACACATGAGAGAATGTGCAGAGACTTAATGTCTAACATATTCAGAGATTTGAGTAGGGGTACCGAGTGATGTCTGGGGCCAGAGTTGGATATTGTCCTAATAGCAGCTTTGTGTTGAGTAATTAGAGGACGTAAGTGATTTTGGGTAGTAGAGCCCCAAGCACAAATACCATAGTTGAGATATGGATAGATAAGGGAGTAATAGAGAGTCACCAGGACAGGGCGTGGTACATAATATCTGATCTTAGAAAGAATGCCCACAGTTTTTGAAACTTTTTTTGATATATTTAGAATGTGTCCCTGGTATTTAGTATTTCACAACCCTAAGTACCTTGTATATAATTAAATAAATAAAGTAATGAATTAATTAATAAAAGCTTAGTAAATATCAGCAAGGATTTCAATGTAAATCCACATCGCTTTTCTAAATATGAAATTATTGGTTCATTTGTTGCAGGAAAATACGATAAGAGTGCATGAGAACTGAGAGGGGAAGGGTTACGCGGGTGGAGCAGAGTGCCTGGGAACACACCAGGAGCCACCAAGTGTCAGCTGTGCCTGGTATCTATGCAGTGTATATATATTTAGACAGCAATATATAGCACCACTGTACAACAGGAGTGTGATACAGTGGAAGAGTTCCCACAGCAAGATGGCACAGCATCTTCCAGTCATGAAGACTGTGGTACTGGCGCTTGTCTTACTAGGCTATGCCTCAGCCCAAGGTAAGATCCTCCTGCCTGTTGCCCTCCCTCCAACACCACATTATAACCCGTCCAACTGATACAACGGCGCATTTTGATGTATACTCTAAGGAAAAAAAATCGTCGTACTAGAAAATGGTAGCGGCTCGTTAAATTGACGTACTGTTCCGTTTTATGTTTAGGGTCCTGTGGTAGGGTAGGAGAGAAGCAGTTTAGTACGACAGTTTTTTGACGTTGGTAGGACAGGCTGCATAATGAATCAATTTTAATGTGTTGTTCAAAGATAAACACAAGCTCTTCCACATTAACCGCCATCCTCAGACTACCAGTCACTGGGGACCGATCGACTGACAATTTGGAATTTTCTAAAACTTATTTTATTTCACTAGTTTCACCATTGGTTTACTTAATTGTTTTTAATAAGATATTTATTCCATGGTTTATTTATAATGAATAAAGTATTGATTTTCAATACTCATAGTAGATTAGTGTATACTGGCAGCAGGTTTTCTTTTAAACATGTCTCATTGAATATGACCGCATATAGGTCATATTCAGGCATATCCTAAGCCATAGCCATAGTCTATGGCAATGTTAAGACACACAAACCAGGTAACCCACTATGCCAAATAATCAGCCAAATACCAACTCCAACCTATCACCTGGCAAAAAGACTTAACGAACTCCTAACTCCATACACTTCAAGTAAGTGCAGTCTACAATCATCAGCAGATTTCCTAGGAATAATCAAATCTACCCAGCCCGATGGAATCATTGCTTCTCTGGACGTCGAATCCCTATTCACCAACGTCCCAGTCGACACAACCATAGGAATGATACTGGAGAGAGTATACAGAGACGAGAGCACCCCCAAATTAGACATACCTGAGCCACACTTGAAGAGTCTTCTCGAAGCATGTACAAAGGAAGCCCCTTTCATCAGTCCACAAGGAGACATGTATCTACAAATAGACGGAGTAGCAATGGGCTCCCCCTTAGGAGTTTTATTTGTTAATTTTTTTATGGGAACCATCGAAGACAGAGTCTTCAGTAGCAGACAGAAACCAACTGTATATTGCCGTTATGTACATGACATATTCGTAATGGTAAAAGACTCAGATGAACTAATTGATCTAAAAAGCCGTCTAGAGAGAGAGTCAGTACTCCGATCTACACATGAAAATAGTGAAAATAACAGTCTGCCATTCTTGGATGTACTAATAACAAAAACAGGAACCTCTTTAAGCACCAACGTATATACTAAGCCCACCAGCATAGGATTATGCCTGAACGGTAGAAGTGAGTGCCCCCAAAGATACAAAGCCAGTGTTCTCAATGCTTATATTCGTCGAGCGCTTACCCACTGCTCTGAATGGATCAACGTGAGTAGAGAGTTTGAAAGAGTAACTCAGGTATTGGTGAACAACGGATATAGTAACGCGGAAATAAACGCTGCTATAAGAAGACACTTGGACCGATGGTATAATCCTGAACCTAGAACAGAAACCACAATACCTCCAATAAAATTATATTACAAATCAACCATGCACAGTGAACATATAAAAGAGGAAAGAAATAATCCGTAAAGGAGTAAAAAGCATTACTCCTAACCAAAACATAGACCTGATCATATTCTACAAAACCAAGAAGACTTCCGAACTCCTTATCAAAAACAGCCCGAAGCCGACGGAGAACCCTCTACAGCAGTCAAGCGTTGTATACATGTTCACATGCCTCCACAAAGGATGTAACCATCAATCTAAGTACATAGGTATGACGTCGACCAAGCTGACGAGGCGTTTGACCTGCCATCTTCAATCCGGTGCCCCCAGGAATCACATGAGACAAGCCCACGACATCACCCTAACAAGAGAAATGTTGAACAAAAATACCTGTATAATAGACAAAACCCAAGATGCAAGAAGATTACAAATTCTTGAAGCAATTCACATAAGAATAGAACAACCTACCATGAACACCCAAATCACGGAACTATTTACTCTACCCACCATGAGAGTAAGGACAAGACCAGAACATAACGATGCCAACACAGAAGACACTGTTCAACGTAACAGGCCAATTACACCTGATTAATCTTTGTATGTAGATAAAAGCTGCCTCTTATGGGCCAATAGGCCTTCCGCAGTTACCTCTATTTTTATGTTCTTATGTTTCACCCCCATTTATCCCTTATGCATCCCCGATGTTTTCACCTTTATTGTCTTATCACCTGACCTAGTGCGGGTATAAATCAGCCAGTTCTGAAAATTCTTTTCACTTGAGAATGAACCATGGAGGTTCGAAACGTTGTGCAAATTGTATAAATAAGTGTAATACATTCTATAGTAATTCACTTCTTTTCTTCACCTTGAAATTACGAAAATGAGTTTTGGAGAACTCCTCTTTCATCTAAGCCCTGATGCTAAGAAAATAGTTAGAGGGATAGACGCCCTAAATCAGAAGATAGTATACCCAGCAAACACAGAACGTTTGTGGACGTTTTTAAATGGTGCCACAAAGGTAATGCTGTAACTTTTGACATAAATACGTATATCTGACGTTCTTAAAATCAAAGGATATAACTAAAAACATATATTCTTGAGACACAGTTTTTTAAGATTTATGTAAAAATTTAAAAATAATAGTGAATGCTATGTTATTATAATGTTTTCATGCTTTATATTTAAGAATAAATAATTTTCAGTCAACATTTAGTTTTTTTTGTTTACTTTCTGTAAAGCTATCCAATTTACGTTCTTATAACATAAATATAACATTTATATGACGTCAGTATAACGTTATTTACACGACATCATTACGTTATTATGATGTTATATTAACGTATAATTCCTGTGTGAAAACCAGAATATATATTGAACTTTATGTTTTAAACCTTGTAAAGTTATTATAAAACTTGGAATAAGACGGTAAGCATGCTTTACTTATGAAAATATACAAACAAATCAACAAAAACATTTTAACATAAAAAACATGAACATAACATAAATTAACAGCATGCATGGGAGTTAATTGGAACTCTGTAATATTGCATACATGAACCTTAAGGTACAAACCCAGTGTATTTACCCATGCAGTTCTTTCCTAAATCTAAATTTTTCCAATTTTTACACTTTGTTTCGAGTTCTGTCTTGTGTTGCTACTTTTAATACCCCATTAATGTCCCCTTTGTTATGTCCATTCATCCCATTGTGCACCTCTACCATATGTCACTCCTAATTCTTTGCTTTTCTAGAGAATGTAATATAAGCTTTGACAATCTTTCTTCATATGACAGGTTAACAGGTAGAACAAAGATTACCATTTATATATGGATAACTATTATAAGTCGGTTTGAATGAGTGAATTGCTGCTTGAAGATAGGTATATACACGTGTGGTACTATCAGATTGCATCGTGGTGAGCCTAAAACCCTTCAGATCCAAGCAAAGGGTAAAATGCCAGCAGATACAATTGCGAACACATTGATACCAAAATGAAAGACATATGACGAGAATTGAGGTAACCAAAGTGAAAAGAGTGTTCACATTACATTGCACTAGAGTGCTCCCGGGTTACTTTCTCTCACTTTCTCTGTTTTGTGCGGATGGTCCGCCGTGCATTCATCACGTCAGCGGGTGGAGCTCGCTGCTGTTTTTGACATTTCATGCATATATTCCAGTTGGAAATTCTATTGCGAACACATTGATACCAAAATGAAAGACCTAGGATGACAATTGAGGTGACCAGAATGAAAAGAGTGTATACATTTTATCGCTCTTGTGCGCTCCCTGGTAACACGCTCTCGCTTTCTCTGTTTGTTGCGGATGGTAAGCCGGGCTTTTGGAGTTTATATGCCTTTAGTCCTGTAGAGAATTCTATTGCAAACACATTGATGCTAAATTGAAAAACCTAGGATGAGAATTGAGGTAACAAAGTTGAAAAGGGTATACACTTTTCAGTATTACCACGCTCTCTAATGTAATGAGAGTTGCCTGAGGGTGGCTCAGCTTTCTTTTTCTGGTACCCTTGGCCTACATTCATCTTGTCGGCGGGTGGAGCGGCGCTGCACCCGCCAACTCCCATGCATGCTGTCTTTGACATTATATGCACATAGTTCTATTGGGAATTCTATTGCGAACGCATTGATACCAAAATGAAAGACATAGGACGAGAATTAAGGTGACAAAGTTAAAAAGAGTATACACTTTTCAGTATTTCCGCACACTACCAGGGAATGTCCAAAAAAAAAATGGAGAGAGTGGAGGGGTAACTTGCCCAAAACGCGAAAGTGTTTGGGGAGATTAACTTTCGTTCAATACTATTATGCAAGAGCGACACATCTATTGTTCATCCAATAAAATCAGCAGACTTCTAGATGTTACTACTGCTCGGCATGAATTATTTATTGTCTGTCGTAATTAACGGTCAGTGGGCCGGGTAATTGACGTGTTTCAGGAAGTCAAAGTAATTAACTTCCATCCGTGTTTGATCGACTCACACAAAGGCTCCATTGTTTCATTAATGTAACGTCTTTATTTATCTGTCCGGAAGTACCGGCACTTCATTGACTCGTGGGAAGAGTAACGTCATTTTAGAATAACGTAAATGTTGTGATTAGCGTCCTCAATCACCTGAATTGGTCTAAGTATGGAAGGCTAAGACGGAATTCATACCTTAATGTAAATTGCTGAGCCAATGTGAGAGGTTGTGTATTTAATTGATTAATTATTGATTTTGAGGATAGTAATTAATTACTCTAAAGGTAATCACGAGTGATTACCGTTCTCTTAGCACTTTGGATATTGTAAAATCAGAGTTTACCATCGTTGAGTGATAGTAACCGATAACGTAAATTAACGTAACTAGTAAAGAGATTAATCAGCTGTCTGGAAGTACAGGGATTAATGGAATTTACTCACTGAATGCTCGAAGGGTAGAGTGTTTGTGTAATTTCCGCGTTACTAGTGACAGTTGTAAGAGTTATTAAATTATCGTAAATGTTACCTTGTTATTAACGTAAATGTTACCTTGTTATTAACGTAAATGTTACTTTGTTATTAACGTAAATCAATTGTTATTAATTGTTGATCGTCCGTGGGACGGATGTGGGGAAAACCTGCCAGATTTGATATGAGAGGAGAACTACAAGGGACTTGTACTAAATTAAAAATTACTGTATGCAAAATTAATTCAACTAAAGTCTCTAGTTAGGGTCGTAAATCCTAGCTCCTCTTTTTCCTAATGACAGACTGTGGGCTGTAAGGGGCAGGTGGGGGTGAATGTGAATGGAAAGGTTGATTGAAGATCCCCAATCCACCTGCAGGCAATTATCTCACATTAGCTTGTATTTTTTATACAAGGATAAGATTTTAATAAAATCAGTTTTATGACTGAACACTGGTTCTGTTTAAATCAGGGATTTAAACATGTACAAAGTCGAGCCTAGCACCATAACTATCAACAGCCAATATTCATTTACTATAAACACAACAATTTAAATTGTGGAAGTATGATATTAAATGACCTTAAATGTGGTCTAAGTACTGTTAAGTAAGTACTAAAGATTATATTCAATAGGTTAAACTTATATTACAAATTAAAGATAACTAAGCAAGCAATTGTTAACTTAATTCATATGATCAAATATATATGTAGATATATTCAATTTATATGAAGAGGTTCAGTCACCTCGATTGAAATCTTCCCAGACTAGGGACACTTATGAGGCAGTGAACCTCTTGAGTATCTGGGGTCTTGAAAAAGATTTAGGAACTACAATATTAATAAACTTACTGAAATATGAGGCATTGCCTCACTCTATAACCGACAGACAGACTTATTGGATATATTAAAGTTATACAAGCATACAATTGGCCAATTAATACACTAAATAACATTCAATATATTTCTCTGAATGTCGGGTCTGACAAGTGTGCCAGACTGGATAACTCTCTTGTCGAGTTTAGGCACGATATTTTATATCACAGCTTTGCTGTATATTGTTCTAGTAGCATTGCTAATTGATTATGTCCTTAATTGCGATTGCAATAGGTTAGATAAGTGATGATGGTGGAGGTGGAGACAGTGATACCTTGTGTGCTCCACTCTACACTTATTTAGATATGTTCTAGGAATTTTTCCTTGTAGATATATTGTCCAGGTACTCCCCCAGTTCTAGAGAGTAATCACTGGTGATAAAGATAATTGGATAAGGTGTCCTGAGCTAAGTAATGTTTGCTAAGCACTGTGACACATGTTCACTGTTTGTAAGCACACGTGTTCTGCCTCGGGCGCCCCGTAGGTCGCTTACTCCCGAGTTGGCTCCACCCACTTCCTAGAGCGGGTAGCTTTCAATGAATATTGATTGATTATATTTGCTATCTAGACATATGATTGAGATAAGATGTGATTATAATATAATTAGATATAGGATTTAAAGATTGCAAGTAGTACTGGATAGTACTATTGATTCTTATTAAGGATTTGATTTAATCCCTACCGGAAATCGATTCAATTGTTCCAATAGTTTTTTAATTAAGAAATCCTTCTAGAAGCTTCTGGATCCTTGAAAAATCATGCACTTACCCTATGGTGTACGTGATCAGAGGTGGCATTGTCTTGTAGGATCCAGATGTATAATGAATCTGTACAAATACAAATATAAATATTTATTCAGGTAAAGTATATACATACAAGGTGAGATACAAAAAGTTGATGGATTTATAGATAGAGCTAGTACATACAATGCCTAAAGCCACTATTACGCAAAGCGTTTCAGGCAGGAAAAACACTAAGACTAAAACTTAATACTAATTGAGATTAAAATATACTAATCTAATCAGGATTAAAGTATAAATTGTGTTGAGAAAAAATAAAAAAAATGAAAAAAAGGGGGGGAAACATGGCAGAAAAAAAAAAAATACAATTTGGTCAACAAACAGCATTGTTTAAAATAGTAGACATGGGTTGACATCTGTTGTGATTCTGATATGATTTTGATATGATTTTGTTATGATTTAGATATGATATAGAAATAATACATTTCTTAGATAATAATATAGATATAGAGGGTAAAAATTTCCCACAATGGAGTGTTAACATAAAGATTAATTTGAGGAAGGGTTGCTGGAGTTACCAGTGAAATTGAAATTAAAATTGAAATAAGTTTATTGATGTAAAATGCACACAAAGGGATGAGGTAGTTCAAGCTATTCTCACCCCGTTCAGTACATCGTGTTAATACATACATATACACACATCACAAAACAATAAACATATTACCGAACATTCTGAGAGATAAACATCTACATTTCCTCCTTCACAAGTAGTATGGTATCAGACGTACACACAAATACTTTTATGACCTAGGTATACTGTATAGACAATTTGCAAGAGACGTGCAGATAATTCAACAAAAATTTCAGTCTTGGTGCAAAATTCTTATATCTCTCAAGAATATCATCAACCTTTCCGTTGTGACACATCCAGGCTATTTGTTCAGGAACAGTCCTTATCTCAGTGTTTCTATGTACATTAATCAACGGACAATCAAGAACATATAATGGGCAAGGGTGTGAGACCTTAACATACCACATAGTTTACACTTCGTGTCATTATCATGAACACCTATCCCATATTCCCAGTAATATTTGTACCCAAGCCTGAGCCGCATGTACACAGAGTCACTCCAAGCATTTCTCCTTTTACCATAAGTGAAATGGGTGTTTTGACTCGCATACATGTAGTGTTGCATGGTTTGACTTCTCTCATACATTATATCTCTCCTCTCCACTTCTGCCTGTGCCTGAATATTTCTGATTTTGCTTCTTATTTGTCTCATTGTGAATTCACATTCAATGTCAACTTGTGGTTTTGATGTGGCACGTTTGACCAAGTCATCCGCCACCTCGTTGAGCACTATTCCAACATGAGATGGAATCCACATGAATTTCACACTATGACCTTTCAGCTGTATCTCAGTTATTCTTTTCTTACAATCCTCAACTATGGACATGAAGACTGGGTTTCGAATGTTTAAGGACTCAAGTGCTCCTCGGTTATCGACAATACAAAAACATTTTTGTCGTCATGACGTACTTCTTCCTCCTAACACGCCAGAATGGCCTGCAGTTCAGCTTGTGTGGATGATATATAATTACTAAGCCGGAGTTCAATTATCCTGTCCACAGTCCCAAACTCCGTATATTCCCTTATTAGGACACCACACCCTGCCCTGCCATCCTCCGCCACCGACCCATCACAATATACATGTAAACTGTTGCCTCTTGGTAACTGAGATATCATGCTTCCATACAAACACCGTAATTGTCCCGGTTCATGATGAATCTTTTTCACCTTCAGGGGTACAATTTCGACGTCTATTTTCTGTACTTTCCAGGGAGCAGACCTATTATACTGTCAAGAGGGTTTACAGCAGTCAAGTACATCGTATTCCTTGAGGTCATGAGCTAATCCCCTCGTGTAGCGTGTCTCCCTCAGTTTCCTGGAAGTGTGTACGTCACTCAAGCAGGTCTGAACGCTCTCAACAGCTTATCCCCTCCTTTTCTCCGCACTAGATTCGCTTCGGCAAATGGTGAAGGTCGACGGCCCAAGTGGAGGGGATTTCAACTTTTTGAGGTCTCGGCGTTTGCTCGCGCCTAGTCAATTGTTCATAAATGGTCCCAGAGTGAGGAATGAGCTGTTTACTACACTGGTATGTTAGCTAAGCAAGTCCTTCCTCAGGCGACCTAATTGAATATTACGACAGGAATAAAGGTTAAAAGAATTAAAGAAAATTTTTAGAAATTTTCCGCGCTCAATTCCTTACCATTCCATACTCCATTTCCCAAAGTCTCACAACTGCTACCTTATTCACTCTTGTGTTGATGATATTCTCATAATGCACCCAGAGCCTGCCAGTGCAGACTACCTATCACATGCCTCTGTATGACTAACCATCCTGTGTGATGTGGATTTTTTAGCATGACGTAGCTAGCTTTTTGACAGATTGTACTCCCTTTCACATAGTCTAGGGTAGCTGCACAAATGCAGATGTACCTAAATGCGTTAATGAACAAAAAATGGAGAAAGGGAAAACACAGTATCAGAGACCATACATTTGTTTCAGTGCTTCTTGAGATGCAGGGAGGGAAGGGAGGAGGATGAAGAGATATGGATTGATAGAGGGATACTCAGATAGAGAGACAGCTAGATAGAGATTGGTATATATAAAGACAGAGATGGGTAGATACACATAGAGATAGAAAGAGAGAGAAGAGACAAAAAGACAGACCCGGGCAATGCCGGGTCCCCCACCTAGTATACTAAGTAGAAGACCACAGATGCATTCCCTCTGTTGCCCTAATGCAACCAAAATACGTCTAGTTATCATCATAATAGTTATTATTATTGCTTTTATTTCAGATGAATGCAACCCGCGCCAGTTTGAGTACGACAGCGTAGTGTGTGTCTGCGACGCCTCCGGCTGCGACCAGCCGGGCATCATCAACTTCCCTGAAGAAGGCAGCTTCACCGTCGTCACCTCCAGCAGGGACGGCCTCAGGTTCAACGTGGAGACCTTCCCCGTCTCCAGTGAAGTGAGCTCAGGTGAGTGATAAATGAAGGGAATAAGACTTTGTGGTCGAGTCATACAAAGCCGTATGTAGATTTTGCAGTATTGTTTTGTTCCATTCTATAGAATGTATGTAAATTCTCTGAAAAGAATAGAGAAAACGACATCCAATATAATCACAGATATTAAGAACATATCTATGAAGAAAGATTAAGAAAACTCTACATTCCAGAAAAGGGTAGAGTATCAGGAAATTTGACTAAAATGCATTTTGGCAGCTAGGTATCTGTGTGACAGTAATTCTCGAATAGGGATGGAACCCACAGTTCCCTTGCCGGATTTTTTAATTCTATCCGTTTTTAACCCATCCTTTCCACGGATACGTCTATTTTCGTACATTATGGTCCTCAACAAACAAAATTAGGGATATTATGAAGCGTTCTAGTTCACAAATTCCCATTTTTTATGCGAACATTGGCTAGGTTAGGTGAGTGGTTTGGGTTAGGGCGCCATTGTACCCCCTTTGGTTTGTCCGTTGTGGACAAACAAGGGGTTAAAGAAATTAAAAGAACGAGCTGCTGTTACACCATAACATACTCATTCTTAAATTGTTTTTGATTATAACAATGTTAATATTTATGTCAGAGATGGTGGTCTAATATAAGCGAATACCTGAATAAAGAGCTAATGCTGGTATCTGAATGGATAGGGGATTCCCTTTGAGGAAAGGAGGTTATAATTTCTTCTGTAAATTATTTCTGCAATTGCAAGTGTAATAACGTACATAAATGAGATAACGCACCAGTGACTGAAAGTTAAATTACCTCTACATGAATTATATTTTCCTATTTGCATCAAAAGTCATGTATCAGTGCTTCCTTAAATGTATGGGCACACTAGGCTGTTGCCCAGAGGCCCCACGATTCTAGGAGCCCATGCTGCCATATTGCTTATAAGAGATTTCTTGGCAGGGTGGTTAATTATTCGACCTCCTGCTGGAAAGGTCTGAGATTCAAATCCCTTTTCAATTTGTATTTAGATCACAAAGAAATCAGATTTAGCATAGAATGGAATAGACCAGTAGGAGAAAATTCTGTTAAAGTGCCAGATTTTCGAAAAGCTGATTTTAATAGCCTAAGAAATTTTTTGGGTCAAATTGATTGGAAAGGCTTGGGTATGGGGTGTGGGCCGGTCTTGGAGCGAGACATGAACCCAGCGATAGGTGACTTAAATGGGGATTTCGATGTGGATTCAATATATAACTTATTTAAGAATATTCTAAACAAAGCACAGGAACGTAGTATACCATACAAATTGAATAGATCGTATACTAATGACCCAAAGTGGATAACAAAGAATTTGAAGAACCTTATAGGTAAAAAGAGAGCTTGGTACAAAAGGATTAAAAATGGGGAGGTCACTTTAGAACAGGAATTCGTACAACTGGTTAGAAATGTTAAAAAAGAGATAAGGAAAGCAAAAAGAAACTATGAAGTTCGCATAGCAGGGCAAGCAAAGACAAATCCTAAAGGGTTTTTTCAGTTATATCGTACTAAGACTAGGGAAAGGATAGGTCCATTAAAAACTGAGACAGGTCAAATAACAGATAGTGATGAAGAGATGAGTAGTATTTTTAATAAATATTTTGTATCTGTATTTACTAAAGAGGAACTTAACAATATGCCTTCAGCCGAACAAGTCTATGTGGGTGGGGACGAGGACAGGTTGACGAGTTTAGCAGTTACCAGGGAGGATGTTCTTAAACAAATAGTAAAACTCAAACCAAACAAATCCCCAGGGCCGGATGAAGTGTTTGCTAGGGTGCTTAAAGAATGCAAAGAGGAGCTTTGTGACCCACTGTCAACCATATTTAATAAATCAATAGAGTCAGGCAGAGTGCCAGAGTTTTGGAAAGTTGCTAATGTGATACCAGTTTTTAAGAAAGGAGATAGATCACTTGCGTCTAACTATCGACCAATTAGCCTAACGTCTATTGTGGGAAAGTTACTTGAATCTATAATAGCAAATAAAATTCGTCTTCATCTTGAAAAACATAAATTAATAATTGAGTCGCAACATGGTTTTATAAATGGCCGTTCATGTTTAACAAATTTGTTATCTTTTTATTCTAGCATTGTTGAGGCAGTTGATAGTGGTAAGGATTGCGATGTTGTATACCTTGACTTTAGCAAAGCTTTTGATACAGTGCCACATGAAAGACTGATTAAAAAAATAGAGTCTCATGGTATTGGGGGTGCTATATTAAGCTGGATTAGGGCATGGCTATACCAAAGGAAACAGAGAGTTAGTATAAATGGAATCAAGTCAGAGTGGGAAAATGTTGTAAGTGGAGTGCCTCAAGGCTCTGTCCTGGGACCTCTGTTGTTTATAATATATATAAATGATTTAGATTCAGGTTTGAGTAGCAACATTTGCAAATTTGCCGATGATACGAAAATCGGTAGGGAAATTAATTCGGAGGAGGACTCACTATCACTTCAAGTTGATCTAGATAGGGTTTTGAAATGGTCAAAGGATTGGCAGATGCAGTTTAATGCTGATAAATGTAAAGTTCTGAGGTTAGGTAATGATGATAGAGTTACAAGATACGAGCTAGATGGTGTTGTGATTGCGAAGTCGGATTGCGAAAGGGATCTGGGAGTTATGATTAGTAAGAATTTAAAACAAAAGGATCAATGCATAAATGTTCGTAATAAGGCAAATCGGACACTTGGATTTATTAATCGCAGCGTTAGTAACAAGACACCTGGTGTGGTTCTCAAGCTATATCTTGCTCTAGTTAGGCCCCATTTAGATTATGCAGTTCAGTTTTGGTCGCCATATTATAGAATGGATATAAATTCACTTGAACGTGTCCAGCGTAGGATGACTAAGTTAATTCCCCAAATTAGAAATCTTTCATATGAAGAAAGATTAACAAAGCTTAAGTTGCATTCACTGGAAAGGCGAAGAGTTAGGGGTGACATGATAGAGGTTTACAAGTGGATGAATGGACATAACCGGGGGGATATTAATAGTAATATAAATAATTTATGCATAACATTAATGCACATTAGTGGATGGGTCGGGCCTATCATTTGGGTAGGAACTCCAGATGTTTATCTGTGTAGGGGCCCCTTCAATGGCCATCATCTGGGTCGAGGGCCTCAGTGGCTATCTGGGTCGAGGGCCTCAGTGGCCATCATCTGGGTCGAGGGCCTCAGTGGCCATCATCTGGGTCGAGGGCCTCAGTGGCCATCATCTGGGTCGGGGGCCTCAGTGGCCATCATCCGGGTCGGGGGACGGGGCCCCAGTGCCCATCATTTGAGTAGCAGGCCCCAGTGCTCATCATTTGAGTAAGGGGCCCCATATTCGTTGCTTTGTCCAGCCTACAATGCTGTTAAGACGGCCCTGCAATACATTACTAATTATTAAACAGGAACTTTGCAATTTATGAATCACATTCACATACCGTTAGCTAACCTACGTGCATAAGTCGAAAATACATAATATCTTCACTTGTCGAAGGTTACGATATTCCCTAGGAGGAAATCATGATTATTATATTGAAAATCCCCTTGAAACACTTTCAAATACAATAACTGTTTAGGAGGAAGCTGTGTTTGTCAAAATGTATTCTATATACACATGCATCAACACGTGTTTGCTCCCCAGGCGCTGTGGTGGTGACGCTGAATCGACAAGACACTTTCCAGACCATGATAGGCTTTGGTGGCGCCTTCACCGACGCCACGGGTCTCAACCTTCTCACTCTTCCAAGCGAGGCTCAGGACCTTGTTCTCAGGTAATGGGACACTTTTCGTAATTCTTGTATTCTAGAGGGCACAGTCCATTCATCTGATTATTCAATAGTTTTCTTCAATGCTGCCTCTCTACAAGGATATATCCTTGTTTTGATTTATAGCGAGTGCCTCAGGTGTTAATAGTTTGTCAAGGGGTACATCAATGATAAATAACATTAAATAACAGCAAAGGCTTAAATATATCAATTGATTTAAACTTATTTATCTTTTATGAGAATTAAGAGATATCCCGTAATTTATTCAAGGATGAATATTATATCTCATTGTTTATAACCGTAGAGCCTACTTCGCACCTGAAGGAATAGGCTACAACCTGTGTCGTATCCCCATCGCTGGCAGCGACTGCTCCACCAGACCCTACTCCTACGACGACGTCGAGGGCGATGTGGACCTCGAACACTGGAGTCTAACTGATGAGGATTATAACTATAAGGTAAAGGTCATCTGTCTATAACTATAACCTTAACTTATAACTTAAGTTATAAACTTAAGGGTTAGAACTATAAGAATAAGTATAAGGTGAATATAGAGAATAGGTAACTCTGATATCTTTGTTATATAGCAAGTTGCTAATGCCAGAAGGTAATTGCTGATTTATAATTTAAGATGCATATAATTTAATGTGTTCATTAAATGCAATTTTTTAAAGATATTTATTTCTTGTAATATGTTAATTGTAATATTACTGTTATTATTTTGATTTGAAGAATTTAGTTTGTTGGTTAAATAGAACTATTATATTTTAATCTAGTGTAGGTCAAGGATATTCCAAATACAAAGCAAATGACCCGAACAAAAGAAGTTCTCCTGTAGGACATTCAATTAATCGAGAATTTCCAGTAACTTTATTAAACCGACACAGTGTAAACAAAATTCCTTCTGCACAGAAAAGGCCAATTATTGAAATTATTGAGATTTATTTATAAGTAAATAGAGACCTACTAGTCCAACGTGAACATTCTTTATCTATTTATCCAGCCACTTTGACTGGACGGAAGAGCAACGGTCTCGCTTCATGCAGGTCGGCGTTCAATCTCCGACCGTTCAAGTGGTTGGACACCATTCCTTCCCCCCTGTCCCATCCCAAATCCTTATCCAGATCCCTTCCAAGTGCTGTAAATTCGTACTGGCTTGGCACTTTCCCCTGATAATTTTTTTTAATTATCTGTTTATATCTATAAAATTGTCAGATCACAATTGTGGGACTCATAAGAGGGTGAACATCATTACTGTAAGCCAGAGGGTGGTCAGGTTAGCTAGGAAAACCCTGGTTGGGCCCTGGTTTGGGACCTCCAAAACGTCCCAAGGGACAAAGTAGAGTTCTGGGATGGCAAACTCTTTGTACCACCGTGGCCCAGTCAGTTAAGGCAGGCGTCTGGGAATCACCAGGTCGCGAGTTCAAGTCTCTCCATTACCTCAAAATAATAAAATATATATATATATATATATATATATATATATATATATATATATATATATATATATATATATATATATATATATATATATATATATATATATATATATATATATATGCAAACAAGCCTGAATGGTCCCCAGGACTATATGCGACTGAAAACTCACACCCCAGAAGTGACTCGAACCCATACTCCCAGGAGCAACGCAACTGGTAACCACAGGGCGCCTTAATCCGCTTGACCATCACGGCCGGACAAAAGGAAGTGGTAGCCGAAGCTATTTGAACCACTTCCCCGCCAGCAACTCGGATGGTAATCTTGGGCATAGCATTTCACCAAATCACCTCATTCTTTGGGGCACACGTGAGGAACACAAATGCAAACAAGCCTGAATGGTCCCCAGGACTATATGCGTTTGCATTTGTGTTCCTCACGTGTGCCCCAAAGAATGAGGTGATTTGGTGAAATGCTATGCCCAAGATTACCATCCGAGTTGCCGGCGGGGAAGTGGTTCAAATAGCTTCTGCTACCATTTCTTTTTGTCCGGCCGTGATGGTCAAGCGGATTAAGGCGCCCTGTAGTTACCAGTTGCGTTGCTCCTGGGAGTATGGGTTCGAGTCACTTCTGGGGTGTGAGTTTTCAGTCGCATATAGTCCTGGGGACCATTCAGGCTTGTTTGCATTTGTGTTCCTCACGTGTGCCCCAAAGAATGAGGTGATTTGGTGAAATGCTATGCCCAAGATTACCATCCGAGTTGCCGGCGGGGAAGTGGTTCAAATAGCTTCGGCTACCACTTCCTTTTGTCCGGCCGTGATGGTCAAGCGGATTAAGGCGCCCTGTAGTTACCAGTTGCGTTGCTCCTGGGAGTATGGGTTCGAGTCACTTCTGGGGTGTGAGTTTTCAGTCATATATATATATATATATATATATATATATATATATATATATATATATATATATATATATATATATATATATATATATATATATATATATATTATTAAATATCACCGAAAAGTAAGATTAATAATTCTAACACGAATTTTCTCTATGTTTCTTATATTTCTTTTCACTGTTGATGGTAGCTGAAAAATCAATTCTCCAAAATTCATTTTTATTTCTAGTCTGACGCGACACTTGAACGCGTTTCGTAAAACTTATTACATTTTCAAAGACTTTAGTTAACACGCACACAACTATAACTGAACAGAGTTGAAACAGCTTCGATTTTATACCTGCATTTGGGTGAGGTGATATGTTACAACAGTTTTCGGTGAGGTGAAAACAAACTTTCAACACACGACAGAACACGAAACAATGGGTATAATATTTTGTAAGTTAAAGGGAAGAATGGAAGTAACTGCAAAGGGCCTATTGGCCCATATTTCTTGATGCTTCTATATTGGTGCGGAGTCTTGAAGTGGGTAGAATATAGTTGTGCATTAATTCGCTGTTGATTGCTGGTGTCGACTTCTTAATGTGTAGTGCCTCGCAGATATCAAGCCGCCTGCTATCGCTGTATCTATCGATGATTTCCGTGTTTTTTTTTTAAACAAAAAACAATTTATTTAACAAAAAATACGGAAATCATCGATTTCATGCTAGAATTATTAATCTTACTTTTTCGGTCATATTTAATAATATATGTCTACAGGAAAGACTGCTACCAAAATATACTAATATATATATATATTGTACCTAGCAGCCAGAACGCACTTCTCGACCTACTGTGCAAAGCCCGATTTGCCTAATAAGCCAAGTTTTCCTGAATTTATGTATTTTTCTCATTGTTTTCCTTATGAAATGATTAAGCTATTCATTTCATTATGTATGAGCTAATTTTAAAAAAAAATTTGAGTTAAAACTAACGTAGATATATGACCGAACCTAACCAACCCTACCTAACCTAACCTAACCTATCTTAATTAACCTAACCTAAATTAACACAACTAAGTCAATAATTTATGTTCTTAATATAATATAATAATAATATATAAAATAGACCAATAGGGAACAATTTATTGAAAATAAAGAAAATCACTCGGCCTATTAGGCAGATCGGGCCTTGCATTTTAGGCCGAGAAGTGCGTTCTGGCTACTAGGTACGACATATATATATATATATATATATATATATATATATATATATATATATATATATATATATATATATATATATATATATATATATATATATATATATATATATATATATATATATATATATATATATATATATATATCGTCCACACAGTAGTGGACGTTTTCGGAGGTGTGTAGTGTTTCAATCATTTATACTATTTTAGTAAACTAAATTAATCTTGTTCTTCCCCACAGATTCCACTGATCCTGAAAGCAAAGGAGCTGTCACAACAGGAAATAAAGTTGTTCGGGTCGCCCTGGTCTCCCCCGTCCTGGATGAAGACCAACGGCATGTTCAATGGGTCGGGAACACTGCTGACAGAGATGTGGCAGCCCTGGTCCAATTACATCGTTAAGTAAGTCGAGCAGGAAGGTGGTAGGCCTGATAAAGTGATAAACGCTGAGTGTATTGGGCGCATCACAAACCCGTCCTCTTAGAAACCACGTCGCTTTTCACTCGTATGCGCACTCAGGCTAAAAAAATGACGTAATTCAAAATGAAATCAGCTAACGAAAGTGACGTATTGTCCCGTTTTCTGTTTTGGATCCTCTGGCTTAGGCTGTTAGGTTAGGAGAGGAAACTTTCAATTAATGGTTTTCATGACGTTTAGAAACTTTAGAACTTCCTGCCCTCCTAACCTATCAGAGGACCCTTAACTTGCTGTTTAAAAACAATAAAAATAAAAATATTTTCAATTATTTTTCATATTTAAATTATGGCCTTTTTTGGTTGTAGCGCAAACGAGCGAAAAACGACGTAATTTGTAAGAGGACCGGTTGTTGATGAGCTCTTCTGGCTTGAGGTAAATAGTAATATTATTTCCATTGATTATATTCTATATATATATATATATATATATATATATATATGTCGTACCTAGTAGCCAGAACTCACTTCTCAGCCTACTATTCAAGGCCCGATTTGCCTAATAAGCTAAATTTTCCTGAATTAATATATTTACTATAATTTTTTTCTTATGAAATGATAAAGCAACCCTTTTCTCTATGTATGAGGTCAATTTTTTTTATTGGAGTTAAAATTAACGTAGATATATGACCGAACCTAACCAACCCTACCTAACCTAACCTAACCTATATTTATAGGTAAGGTTAGGTTAGGTAGCCAAAAAAAGCTAGGTTAGGTTAGGTTAGGTAGGTTAGGTAGACGAAAAAACATTAATTCATGAAAACTTGGCTTATTAGGCAAATCGGGCCTTGAATAGTAGGCTGAGAAGTGCGTTCTGGCTATTAGGTACGACATATATATATATATATATATATATATATATATATATATATATATATATATATATATATATATATATATATATATATATATATATATATATGTCGTACCTAGTAGCCAGAACTCACTTCTCAGCCTACTATTCAGGGCCCGATTTGCCTAATAAGCCAAGTTTTCCTGAATTAATATATTTACTATAATTTTTTTCTTATGAAATGATAAAGCAACCCTTTTCTCTATGTATGAGGTCAATTTTTTTTTTATTGGAGTTAAAATTAACGTAGATATATGACCGAACCTAACCAACCCTACCTAACCTAACCTAACCTATATTTATAGGTAAGGTTAGGTTAGGTAGCCAAAAAAAGCTAGGTTAGGTTAGGTTAGGTAGGTTAGGTAGACGAAAAAACATTAATTCATGAAAACTTGGCTTATTAGGCAAATCGGGCCTTGAATAGTAGGCTGAGAAGTGCGTTCTGGCTATTAGGTACGACATATATATATATATATATATATATATATATATATATATATATATATATATATATATATATATATATATATATATATATATATATATATATATATATATATATATATACATAAATATTTTCAAAATTTTTAAGTTTGCTGATCCTGTTATAGTTATTGCAGTCGTTATAACATTGATAAATAAAGTGATTATATTCAGGTTTGTGGAAGCGTATGAGGCAGAGGGAGCCGAATTGTGGGGCCTCACACCTCAAAATGAACCACTCAGTGGGTTTCAAGACGTAAGTTCCTCTTGATTTTCGATATATGGCAGTCTCCGTGGTGTAGTGGTAAGACACTTGCCTGGCGTTCCGCGAGCGCTATGTCATGGGTTCGTATCCTGGCCGGGGAGGATTTACTGGGCGCAATTCCTTAACTGTAGCCTCTGTTTAACGCAACAGTAAAATGTGTACTTGGATGAAAAAACGATTCTTCGCGGCAGGGGATCGTATTCCAGGGACCATAGGATTAAGGACTTGCCCGAAACGCTACGCGTACTAATGGCTGTACAAGAATGTAACATGAAGTAAATATATCTCAAAAAAAAATAAATAATAAAATAAAATAATGTAATTTTCTTTAAAATTATTGAAATCTTGCAATAGCAATTCCGTAATGCTTGTGTATGTTGCGTGTGGCGGCAGTGGGGGTGGAACACGTGTGGGTGGACGGCTGAGGACATGCGAGACTGGCTCAAGACCACCCTGGGGCCCACGCTGGAGGCTGCCGGGATGCGGCGTCTCAAGATGATGGTTGATGACTTCAACAGGGACACTCTTCCAGATTACGTCCAGCCTGTAAGTTCCAGAAAATCGTTGATGTTACTTTCGCGTTTGTAGGGACCCTCGACCTTGAAGAAGACGATATGTAGCATCTGGGGGAGCCTTGTGGGGCACCCACAACGGAGCCTTGTGGTGGGCCTGACGATGAGTGGGCAGTGCTCGGGATTCGTAGTCCTACTTAGGTTCCTGGTTCGATCCCAGGCGGAGGTGGAATCAAATGGGCAGAGTTTCTTTCACCATGATGCCCCTATTAAGCTAGCAGTAAATAGGTACATGGGAGTTAGACAACTGCTACTGGTTTCTTCCTGGGGATGTGTAACAAAAAGCAGACCTGGTCGAACACGGGCCGCAGGGACGCTAATCCCTGAAATCATCTCAAGATAAGCACCCATGTACACTCACATATTGTCTTCTCCTACCACCCCCTATTTTTTGTATTTTGTTATTTTATTTTATTTAAAACTTCATTACACAAAAAGGGTTACAACATTGGTTACATGCATGGTACAAGGCTAGTTGTACCTTAATATAAAAAAACGTATTAAAACCTTTGTATAAAATTTTTGTATTTTATACCTTGAATAAAAACCCTTCACGAGGAAGAGTTTTTCTGATACATTTGGCTTGAGAACCATTCAAGCTTACCGTACATATATGATGCTCACGTTTTCCTCACATAGCGAACTGATTTGATGAAAATTATCTGTGTCCACTGGCCACCGAGTGCTGTCGGGTGTTGGGTAAATTGTCTTTGAACACTCTCTCTCTCTCTTTCTCTCTCTCTCTCTCTCTCTCTCCCGCTCTCTCTCTCTCTCTCCCGCTCTCTCTCTCTCTCCCGCTCTCTCCCTCTCTATATATATATATATATATATATATATATATATATATATATATATATATATATATATATATATATATATATATATATATATATATATATATATATATATATATATATATATATATATATATATATGAATATGACCGAAAGGGTAAGATTAATAATTCTAACACGAATCTTCTCAATATTCCTTACTTTTTCTTCACTGTCGAGGGTAATTGAAAAATTAACTCTCCAAAATTAATTTTTTACATTTTTATTTTTGGTCTTATGCCTAGAAGCATTTCGTAAGGCTTCTTACATTTGCAATGATTTGGTTTACACATAACATACATCATGCTTTTTATTTGTTTTGGGTGAGGTGATATGACACAAATGTTTTGGGTGAGGTGGGTATTAATTGGGTATGAAAGGCATAAGAATGAAGGTAACTGCAGAATTCCTATTGCTCCATACTTTTTCTTACTGCTCCTATGTTGGTTCGGGGTCTTGAAGTGGGTAGAATATAGTTATGCGTTAATTGGCTGTTGATTGCTGGTGTTGAATTTTTTATGTGCAGTGCCTCGCTGATGTCGAGTCTCCTGCTATCGCTGTATCTATCGATGATTTCTGTGTTGTTTGTTAAGATTTCTCTGGTGATGGTCTGGTTGTGAGAAAAGATTATATGTTCCTTGATGGAGCCTTGTCGTTTGTGCATTGTTAATCGCATAGAAAGAGACATCGTTGTCTTGCCTATAAACTGAGTTCTTTGGGGCTTACAGTCCCCAAGTGGGCATACGAAGGCATAGACGACGTCGGTTTCCTTCATGGCGTTCCAAACCAACGTCGTCTATGCCTTCGTATGCCCACTTGGGGACTATAAGCCTCAAAGAACTCAGTATATAGGCAAGACAACAATGTCTCTTTCTAGGCAACTAACAATGCATAAGCAACAAGGCTCCATCAAGGAACATATAATCTCTTCTCACAATCACATCACCAAAGAAATCTTAACAAACAACACAGAAATCATCGATATATACAGCGATAGCAGGAAACTTGAATTGAAATCTTAATTTTTTTGTTTAGTTAATCGTTACACCAAACGGTATTTCATTTGTTGATGCCATAACGCTTTTCATTCATATATTTTATTTACACATAATTGTTTGGACAATATCTGCTCATGTTAAAAGATGTACATATTATTCATGAATATCAAATTAAAGCTTACTAGTCAAGTTCAGCGCCATGTTCCTACACAATCTCAGGCGAATTAAGTTCTGCAACATCTTTTAATGTAATATTTCATTCTTTTAGCCCAAGAATGAAATGTTTTGATGAGATTAACGTATTACCCTAAGCACGGAGAGTAATCACACTAACGTGACTTATCAATGAGAAAATCCATAGGAGCCGTGATGGGAATTCAAACCAATGCGGTGGGTGTTCCCACTCACAGGCCCTTTTTTCGTATTATTCTAAGCTTTATTAAGACCGTGGGGTATACTGATTGTGTGGTTGTGCAGATGCTGGAGGACCCTGAGTGCGCCCAGTACATAGACGGAACAGCGGTGCACTGGTACTCTGACAGGTATGTGGGGCCTGACGTCCTCGACCAGACACAGGCACTCGACCCAGACAAGTTCCTTCTCTACACCGAGGCTTGTCAAGGTAAGCAAACCCCAAAGTTAATTGTAGTCTATTAAATTCATATTAATTTGTTTTTCATTTAATTTTGTAAGATAGAAGGGATCTGTTAGATTTAACATAAACTTTTTAATCTTATCATTTACAAGTGAAAAAAATAGAATGTCCAAGCATTGAAATATTAAATTTAAAATAGTTTTGAGAAAATGCACACACAAGTTAGAGGAAAGAAATGTACTCTACTTGATAATGGTCCAGGACAGATCGAAAAAAATGAAATCGTTTCTTTATTTTCTGATGTGCGGTTTGGTCATCAATTCACATTTGAATTCATATTCAAGACAATAAAACTATAACAAGAGGAAGCGCATCGGAACAAAACTAATGAGTACATCAGTAACATGAACACTCAAAACATTTTCTCCCAGGGTAAAATTGACCAACAAAAGTTACTAGACTTTTGTTTACTGTGTTATTATGTTGTCCTGAGTGTGACCTGTGGAAAGTGAAGATGAGAACTGTGGTAACAGTGTGCATGCCATGCTAAGAGCCCAACTAAGCTACGAACTCAGCACCAATAGCATCATTGCTGCATTCAGAACAGGTAAAATGAATCCAACTGGTCAAGGTCAAAGAAAAATTGGTCTCAAACTAACTAGCCGCTCTATGAACAACCCGTCCTCCCAATAAAACGTCGCATTTTGACGTATACTCTACCTAAGGCCAAAAATCGCCATACTATAAAATGGTAGCGGCTCGCGAAATTGACTTACTCCTGTTATCTGTTTTAGGTCCTCATGGTAGGTTAGGATAAAAACAATTTAGTACCACAGTTTCTTGACGTTGAGAAACCTTCTGGAGGATGGACTGCTATAAAATCTCATCTCGTCCTGTCAGCAGTGTCCTCTAACAGAGGGGTGTACGTCAACGAAGGCCTGACCGGGAGAAAACTCTTCTTTACTGTTCTACCGTCTGCATCAATTCTATAAGCAAAACCGAGGATCGATCGATCAATGCTGTGTTAAAGTTATTGTTGACCCCCTAACTCCCCTTGTCACTTCGGAGGGTATAGGGAGTTTATGTAGCTTCAGGGCACCAATCCCCCCAGCCACAGGGCATGGCGAGAAGGCACCCCTAAGCATACCTAATACCCTATCAAACACAAACTAAAACACACATAAATGTCAGCTCTCATCACAACCCACAAGAGTTAAGATGATAATAATAACACACAATAATAACATGAAAATAACATACACAAAATGGAAAATTCTTTTGTATTTTGTTTTTCTTATATGGGACATGGCACACAAAGGGAGAGGTGCACAGTATATCATTAAAAAAGAACTAAAGTTGAAGACAAAACAACAAGCTGCCTAAGTAGCAGGATTAGTGACTTGACATCGTCATACATGGAAAAAACTATTCATAGTGGAAGCTCCTAACAAGGCTCCGGAGTGGGAGGGATATCATGTATGCACATGGGGGTCCCTCCGGCCGCCGCCTTACCCACTTGTGGGCTCTGGCCAGGTCATCCACCCTCTTGTGAGAAACCATTTGGAGAAGTGGTACGCCAGATGACGACTCTGCTTAGATAGTTGGCTAACAGCTATCCTGGCTGCGGTTCACCTAAGCAAAACTATATTAACCCTTATGCACCCTGTGCACGGTGATCCTGGGACTAAGGTGGTCTGCCCCTAGATGTGGTCTTGGACCATATTCTGTAGATGGAATATGTCCAGGTCAGGGCTTTCACAGAGCAAATCTCTAGGTCGCTCTTGGTGAGTCCCATATACTGTAGACCCCGTGTACTCTCCTTGCACCATTCTCCTCTCTAGTTATGGGTTATTGAAGAGGCGGATGCTGTGTGCTTCCCGGTATATTCCCTGACCTTTTGAAGGATCTTTGGGGTGCCGTACTTGTCGCACTTGCTCTGATGTGGACGGGAGAGTAGGAGGTTTCAGCAGAGACCTGGGGTGTCTAATATAAAGGTCTCATCACCTTTGCAAGCTATGATGTCAGGCTTACAGAAGGTCCCTCCATCCGGTATACGGACTTCACGTTCCACCTCAAAACCTCTTTGCTGCAGGCGGCCGGCTACGAACCGGGTGATATCGTCATGACGTTTCACCCGAGCCCCATATGTCTTGTGGCATGCTTGGGATATGTGGCCCAGGGTCCCTGGTTTCTGGCAAGTATCGCAGAGACCAGAAGCCTCGGGTCTACCCCTAGCTGCTCTAGACGGTGTGGCTACAGCGTTTGCCCTAATCTGGATGGCGTGAGCAAAGTCTCCTCCGCTTAGCAGATGGGTACCGGATGCGACCCACTTGTGGCAATATGAAACCTCACAAGAGGACGCAAGGTCGGCACCATCGACCATGCTATACAGTTTTGCTTTCCACCTTCTAGAGTGCTCAGTCGTTCTGTTAGAAGGGGTTCCGGCGGCCGTGGTTGGGTCTACCCATCGACGCATTCGCGCTTGGAACGCGGGTAGGAGAGCCGCTGTCACTACCACTGGATCCTCCGACTCTACTAACTCCCCGAGCCGCTTGTTCTTCTGTAGGCGGATTGATGTGGCAAAGTCGAGAATTCCTAGTCCACCGTCCTTTACGTCGGTGTGAAAAAAGGCATTGGGAGTATCATGAGGCAGTCGCAGCCAGCCACGGATGGCATGCCGCAACCACCGGTCAAGCCTCGCCAACTCCGTTTTAAACACGCGTTCGAGAACAAGCCAGTGGTTCATCTTGGGGATTAGGTGGTGTTTTAGTAGGTATAGCCTCTGTTTGGGTTTGAGTGGCGCCTTGGTGTTCGTCAGGATAGGCGGAACCATAGGATAGGCGTCTGCCCCTGGCCCCGATAAGTATCCCTAAATACTTATACTCGTCCACCACACTCATAGTACCGATTTCATCGTCCCTGACGTGGTATGCCTTCCTAGTGGGGACATGCCACATCTTACGATGTGCATCGATTGCTATGCTTAGCGTACGGCATTTCGCAGCATTTACTTTAAGACCAGAGCCCCGCAGTGTGTGGCAAATAATTGTTATAAGAGTCTGTAGTCCGGTAGCCGTTTCTGCTGCCACAACCAGATCGTCAGCGAATGCCAGTGCTGATATTCCCCCCCCCCCCCAGTTCAACCCCCTAGCCCCAAGTCCTTAGCCCTAGTAATTGCCTCATCAATTATTAGGTTAAAGAGAAATTGAGACAGGGGGTCACCCTGTTTCACCCCCCTAGTGATCAGGATGTCCTTCGACTTCTCCCCTTAGCTGGTTATTACGGTTGAGGACCGATCATAGCCCGACATTATGTATGTCCTTAAAGGCTTCGGAATGCCTTTACGTTTCATGGCCCGATGGATGGCCGGATGGGAGACGCTATCGAAAGCCTTCTCCATATCCTGAAACGCTAGGTGTGTGTTGTGCTTGAGCGCACGGGCCTCAGCTAGGAGGGCATCCAGGATCACCAGATTTTCAGGGCATCCGTCCACAGGGACGAAGGCCTTCTGCCGCCTGTCGATCCTGACTGCCTCGGAGAGTCTGCTGCTCAGAATCTTATGGAACAGCCTTACTATCGTAGATGATATGGTTATGAGGCGATAATGGGAAGGAGAGTCTGGGGTTAGGTTTCTTAGCTAACAGCACTGTCTTATTCTTGCGAAAAGGTTGTGGCAGGGATTCGTTTACCAACCACAGATTAAACAATTTTGCAAACACCCTGATTGGTATAGCTTTAAGTAGACGAATAGTGATACCGTCGGGGCCGGGAGCAGCATTGCTACCTGCCTTGAGAAAAACAAGGATTTCCTCTGGTGTTATAGGGTCCCCTAGTTGCTGATTAACTGGATCACGGTCACGAATAGGGCGGCAGTCCGGTGATGTGGGTCTAGAGAATAGTGTCTCCCAGAATGGAAAGAGACGAGCTGGCTCCACCTCAGTGGGAGTTACTTTCCAGTCTCCGGAAAGGACACGTGCAGCGGCTTTTGAACGATCCTTCTCGTACAGGCTCTGACACAGAATGTACTGTGCTCTTCGCTCCCTCTTTCGTCCGGTCGGAGGTTGAGTTGGATCAGCACGATTAATCGGTGGTCTCTGTCAACGTCCAGGGCGAGGGCGCAGTGCGTGGTCACCAGATCTTTTGGCAGAAGTAACCACTCGAGCATGGCGCTCAAGGATTCTATCCACGTTATGGCCGTTACCACTGACCAGGTCAGTGATTGCCTCATCAAGGAGTTCTTCCCCCCCCCCATCCAGTTTTCTGGCCCCAGGGTGCAATAGCTGCAAGGAATTCCACCATGGTTTCCTTCCAAGAAGCTTCCTGGGGGGTCCCGTCAGGGGATGAGTGGAATGTCAGGTTCAGCGCCATCAGGGGGGCTCCCACCGCCGCCCTGATATTGCCTCTCCGTCCATGGTTCCTTAATGGGCTAGGCTGCTCGTCCTCCCTGTCTGAGTTAGACAGTGAAGACTCCGAGTCCTCGCCCTCCGCACGATTTCTGTATTCCACCACCAATTTTTTGTACTCATTCCTTTTCCTTTGACTCTTGATGGACTCTAAAGTTCGCGAAAGAAAGCGCTGTTGCAGCCGCTGGTTCATACCTTCCTGGCCTGCCTGGGGTCTGCCCTCCAGGTTCACCTCTTCCATTGCCAGGAAGCGTTTCTTCTCGTCGGTCCACCTTGCTTTGGGTCTACCCGCTCTACTCGCGGCCTCTTCAAGTTCCTGGTGGTATTGGACCTTGTGCATGCAGCTCAGATGGACTCGCATTGCTCTATAGTCTCGAAAGGTTCTGCCACAGTTTGGACAGTCTGGCGACCGATCATTCATAGTCGGATAGTCATGTAGGTCACCCATCGTGCTGACAGGAGTCAGTACGTCTCCGTAATGGTTTTCACAAAAGTTTATGGGTGACAAGGCAAGAAAACCCTTGACAGGGGCAGACTTCCTTTGGGATTGCTCAAACCAAGTGTCACTGACAAATGACCCCTACTGCAGGTAGACGGAAGGTCCCCTTAGAGCAGCAGTAGAGG